TATTTTAAAAAATTACACACAGAAAATTATAATTCAAACACGAATATAACGGGAAAATGTGCGAGTTTTACTTTTTATCCCATTGGCACTTGGAGGTTCGGAATTTTCTTAACACGGAACTACCAAACCGTTGGATTGGTCGCAGTTCATCCGATAATATGGTTCTACACAGTTGGCCTCCGAGATCACCCGACCTAACCCCATGCGACTTCTTTCTTTGGGGATTTGTGAAGGATCTTGTCTTTGTACCACCTTTACCTACAAGTGCAAATGAACTGAAAAAAAAACGCATTTGCGATGCTGTACAAACAATTACCAGAGATACATTACACCGTGTTTGGCAAGAACTTTCATATCGGAATGATATCATACGTGTAACGAAAGGAAGTCATATTGAACACTTGTAAACAAAAACTCGCACATTTTCCCGTTACATTCGTGTTTGAATTATAATTTTCTGTGTGTAATTTTTTAAAATATAAATTTTTGAAATCGGATGAGATTCTTTCCGGGGAACCCTGTAGTTTCCTTCGAACGATCCTACTGATACTAGAGCTTGTCCTAATATCGCAGAAGCGTACTCTCGCGTTTACACGTAATCCCGTCCACGTAACGCAACTGTAACGTGTATTCGACGAGAGTGACCGAGCATCGTCCCGTTATGGAATTCGACCATTCGGAGGCTGCGGTTGCAAATAAAACGAAACGCGACGCGAATACGTGTAACGTTTACGATGGATGGAAAATGAGTGGGAGAATTTTCGGCGATAACACGTAAATAAGACACGAGATTGAATAGATTAAATAATAATAGTAGCGATGGGGGAACGAAAATACTTGTTATGTCGGTGAATTAAAGTAATCTCGGGTTGAAACGTCCCATATGAAGAATGAGGCCGGTCGGATTGTGTCGTACGAAATAGAGGAACGGTTGATCCAATTTCAATCTCGGTCTGTCTACGGCTTGTTTCTCGGAGGCTTTTGCGATTCCGTTCCCGGAAACGGTCCTCGGATGATTATTTACGCAACAGTCGAATGCTGGCGCCGCTGAATTTGAATCTGACTCCGACTCTGAATCCGAATTCGAATCTGATTCTGATTCCGAATCCGAGTGTAGCAGTCCCCCGGACTCCAAAGTTCGGTGTTCGTCGTTGTAACTCGGAGATTGCCTCGATAAAGGACTCGCAGGATAAACTTCCACGTGATGTCGACCGTTGCCGATGTTCTCATCGCCGCATGTACTAAATAAGTTCATCTGAAAACGAGGTGTACGACGTTACCGATTGTGTCTAAATAATTTCCAAATATTTGGAAAAAAGAGATGGGTTGGGATGAGAAGGAAAACGAAAGAAGATGAGAACAATTGAGAAAGAATGACGAAAGAAAGGGACCAAGAAGGGGAAAAAAGAAGCGAAGAAGAAGAAGAAAATGGCAACGTTACCTGTAGGACGTCGGATAAAAATAGATGATTTCCTATCCCGTTGATCCCTTTGAAATCGGCGTCGTTCGAGAACAATTGATCCAAGCCCATTCGTTTTAAAGCAGCGGTAGCGTTGACGACGGACCGATGACTGAACTTGGGTATTTGTAATTCAAGGCCGTGCCTGGGTATCAGAACTTTCAAAAGTTTGTTCCACGTGCTGTCTCGGAAGGCTCCTTTGACGAGCCTCTGCTCGAGCCGATCCAACGTGTCGCCGGGCGCGGCGTGACCCTGTTGACCGGGCAATAGGAAGATCGTTGAAACTAATTTGCCGGTACCGCCGAGACCGATCGCAGTGGCGTCCAAGCTCGGCTCGTAACCGGCGAGTACGTTCGATCGCCAAACGGTTGCCGGTACCGGGATCAATTTTCTCAACCTGTGCGCCGACGAGATCGCGAAATATAATTCCCCGTCTCGACCCGTCGTGCTGGCCGAGCTGATGTTGCAATCCGTTTGAAACACGTTCGCGGAAATCGCTGCGAGGGGGGATCTCAATGGGACAGCGTTACTTTTCACGAAATCTCGGATACGGCCGCCGGTTTGTTTTCTGATCAACAGATTGGTTCGCCGACGCGCGAGATCGCTGATGGTAGCGAAATTCACCTCGGCTACCAATCCTTCGTAGAATTGTTGCGCTTGCTCCTTGTAGAACGGCAATAATTTTCGAATCTTCACCTTGTCCGCGAACAATTCGCGAACGAACGCCGCGTTAGCGATTCCCTGATTTCTCGCCAAGCTTACAGCGTCCGTGACATTTTGAAAAATTAGATGTGGATTAAAGGTGGCCACGTTGTCGAGACCGAGAATTTCGTTCATTTGATCGGACGTCGAACCTCGCGCGCCGAGGAAGATCATCGCTAGCAAGCTGACCATGCCGAACGGCGACAAGGCGAGCGACCTGCCGGTGCTTAGTCCCTTGTTCACCGCTATCCAAAATTTGAACGCCAATTCGTTGCAAAGTCTTGAGAAGTTGACAATGTCGTTGCTCGCGTTTTTTATACTGGTGTCCAGTCCGCTCGTGCTCTTCGAAGGATTTAGCGTGACGGTGGTCGTCGCGGTTTCGCTCGCCGGCGTTGTCGGATACCGAATATCATCCTCCGAGGAGTTTGTTTCACGCATCGTTAACGCTGCCGTCGCCGATTCCGATTCCGATTCTGATGTCTGCAGAAATTCCTGCACAGGATATCTTGTCGGTACCGTCGGAACTATCTCGGATAAAGTGATCCGATGCCATTTCTCGTCGAAATTAACGTCGTTCGTCGTATTTATCGTATTTGTTGTATTTATCGTATTCATCGTATTTGTTGTATTTGTTGTCGCGTTCAGATTTAAATGTTCAAACTCCACCGTTTCGTACATCGATAACTTGCTCGACGTGACGTACGATTTAATCGGAATTTTTGTTAAGAAATTACTTTGCTCCGTCGTCGATTCGATTCTCGATGGATTCTCAACGTCCATCGGATTCGTTTCATTGGTCGAATGCGTGGTTATTGCTATTTGATTCGGCTGCGTAACGATCGAGCTCGTATCGCTCGTTGTTTCGTTGATCGAGAAGATCGACGCGTCGGTTCTAGTTTCGGAAACGGTAGTACCAGTGACGGTAGTACCGTCGCCAAATTCGACGGTATCTACTCCCGTGTCCGTTGGTATTGGTTTCGGCAAGTTCGCCGATGATCGATCGAATATCGTCGACGTATTCTGTACAGCGATGGATTCCAACGACGGGGTCCTATCGAGGCCACCGGAATACGCGACCGACGTTTCATCGTCGTCCTTTTTAACAATTTCTAGTGGAATTTCCTCGAGCTTGGCAACTATCGATGTCTCGGTCTTCCCGTCAACGTTCGTCGCACTTTGTTGCTGAACCGGGTTCGTCGAATCGAACGAAATACTAGATACTTCGCTGGATACCGTGGTCGTATAGTTGATGTAATTGGTGTCTTCTGAAGGGGATGCTTGACCGTGATCCACGACCGGATCGATCGAAGCATCGACGCCGGATACGGACAAATCGACCGTTGGAACCGTTGGAACCGTTGGAACCGTTGTGACCGTTGGCGTCGTTGAAATCTTCGGAATCGTCGGAATGGAAATCTCATTGGTATTATTCGACACGATCGATTCCTCGTTTTCTACTTGCGCATATTCGAAGTTCGTTCGAGTAGTGGATAACGTACGGTCGGTCGTCGCGAGCGTTCCTGGTTCTTCGATCGGATTCGATGGTCTTTTCGGCTCGATATAAACTGTTTCGTTCGTCGCGGAACTATTTCGAGTTTCGTTGTTGATTCGATTCGATTCGCAAAGCACATTATTATCCTTCGACGATGTTCCCGCCGTAGAAGCCAGAGTTTGCGACTCTAGCTTGAAAGCAACGTTTCCCGTGTTCGCACCGGAGATCGGTGTAACGTTCGTATCGGGGCCTGCGATCGATTCGAAACCTGCGACGAGGCCGCTGGCTATCGTTTTCGCCGGAACATTCGGTAAGACGAACGATTCCGTGGAATAGGAAGGAATATTCGCTTCGGCGGACACCGTTCTGAGCATGTCTTCGATGATCGCTATCGATTCGATGTTCGACTGCTGCTCGACGTCCGATATTTTCGACGGAGAATCGAAACCCGAGAAATTCGTGTTCATCGAGTCGAATGGCTTTACCATTGTTTGGAACGTAACCGATGTACCGGCAACAGGCATCGAATCGGTTGTCGTACGGAGCATTTCCTTCGTACTCGCTGTTCGCGTTGCGTCGATCGCCAACAAAGTGGAATTCGGCGTGTCGTGTCGATCGAAGGTCGTTGTCGGAACACGAGAGAGATCGTCGACTCCGTCGGGACGAATTCGATTCGCCGATGCGAGGGTTGCGAACAAAATAACGGGCGAGATGGTCCAAGTGACTCGATCTTGGTTGACCTGCGGAAGCTTCGTGGAAGTTGTGCCAGATGTTTCACCGAGCGATTCTTCTCCACGTTCGTCGGACGTTGATAATTTAATCGTTAGATCGGTTAACGGTGTCGTCGCGGTTTTCCATAGGTTCGAATTATTCTTTCGTTCCTTTTCCTCGACTCGATCGTGAAGCGACTGCTGCCTTTCGAAATCGGTCGACGCAGGCAGAACCGAAGACGCGGGAACTTTCGAAACTTGACCGATCATACTGGACAATGAGTTCATTAACTCCATGGGCAAAGATGTGGAAGATGCCATGGTTTCCAAGACGCTCGGTTTTATTTCTTCTTCCAGCACCGGCAATGAAACTGCGCCAGCTTTATCCACAGCCGTGGCAACGATCTCGATCGGCGAGTAAAGGGGCGTCGTTGCGGACGATGCGTTCGTCGTCGATGCGTCGATTTTGCTCGAGTTTATCGGCGAAGTCTTTTCTGTCGCGACGTCGTCGTTGGAGTTTTCTTCCGTCTCCGAAGTTTTTGACGCTTCCAACGCCGTCGACGCCGTCGACGCCACCGACGTTTCCGACGTGTCGGCAGCCGTCGTTGTCGAGTCTAGGATCGCGCTCGCCAACGATTCGGTAGCCTGATCCCTGATTTTCGTCGATCCGAGAGGAACCATCGGCGAACGATTGCTATTGTCGTTGAAATTTTCGTCGAGTGCGTCGTTGCCGGCCGCGGGTAGGATTTCAGTAATTTTCTGAAAGATCGGACTTTGCGTTGTGCTACGCCATACGTGTGGTCTCTGTTGGGCCGTTATAACGGCCACGGGAATCATGAATTTTTCCGCAGGCGTGTTGGCGATGGTTGTCATAGCGTTCGAAATAATGCTTGAAACCGTCTCTCGTGTCCTGTTCCCTCCGAATTCGTGAGAAACCGTTTGCCCGTGCGTTTCCTTCGGCCTGGTACCGTTGCCGGGAGCTCCAGTCGTGGTCGCAAACACCGTTGAGTTCAACTCGAAAGTTGTTCCGTTCGAGGCGTAATCGTTTCGGACGGTCGAGGTACGAACGGTTGTTGTTGTCGTCGGCGTTGTAAATCTTTCGATGTAACGCGTGTCGTCGACGATGTCTCCGTGTTTGTCGCCGGCCAAAATAACGGGTAGAATATTGCTCCATTCGACGTTCGCTTTTTCCGGCACCGAATTCGAGATCGTTCCCGTTAACATCGGCGGCTTGTTCATAGCGCTCTTGAGCACGTTTTGTACTTTCTCCACGACATCCATCACCTGCGAACCGAGTACGAGCATTTGCATACATATTACACAAGCGAGCAAGATGTTTATTATTCTAATGCGAATGAACAATGTTGAGTCGCGTTCGCGTCAGTTCACAGACCTTTTTCCCGCCGGTAAGTATGTCCTCGGCTTTCTGAGGTTCCTGAACTCCCATGTTCGAGTGATCCGGTCCCCCGCTCGCGATCAAAGCTTGAATTTCATCCGGAGTCATTTGCTTCGTGATCATGTCGCCCCTTTCGTTGTAAGTGTAGAATTGAAATCCATCGGGCTTCAGCAAATTCGCAGGGGAGGGCGGCAAACGATACAGATTAATATCGCCCGCCACCGACGATCTGTCGTTGTTCCCCGCCTTGTCGTCGACGTCGTTTTTCGGCCTGTTTTCTTTCGCGAGACCCGACGTTGTCGCAACCGCGCTAGAAATCGTAACATTGCCATAAGATTATGTCCCGTTTTAGCCATTCCAAATCCACAGTCTGCAGTCTGCAGTCTGCAATCTGCAGTCTACAGCCTACAGTCTATAGTCTACAGTCTACAGTCTACAGTCCACAGTCCACGGTCTACACTGTAGTCTACACAGTCTACACAGTCTACACAGTCTACAATATAAAACGTATATTATAAATACATATATTATTGGCGCAACGTTCTTGACAAAAAAAATGCGACACGCATCGAGACGGATATACGATGCAAAAAGGAGAGAAAAAAAGAAAACAACAAAGAACTAAAAATACTGACCCAGATTTCAGAAATTTCCTAGACGGTAGAATCATGATGTTCTCTGGAAGCGGTCCGCCTATGCACGAATCTAAATAACACGTCCACGCCGCGAACGCCGTCAGTGTCACGTAAAACCAGCCTAAAGTCATGCTTGCTTTAGATAAATTCCTTTAGATAATCTGGAAGAAAATTGGAAAATGTATCACCAAGCGATGTATTTTTATTTCGAATGATTTCGAGCTAAATGCCATGCGTGAATGATGAAAAGAGGAAGGAAAGCAAAGAGAAAGAGAAAGACAGAGTGGAGGAAAGAAGGAAGGAAGAGAGGAAGGAAGGAAGGAAGGAAGGAAGGAAGGAAGAAAGTAGGGAAGGTAGAAAGAGGGAAAAAGGAAATAAGAAAGAAAATCGTGAGAGTCTGGTTTGTCTTGTTTTCGGTTAACGACCCTTCGATTCCTTGCTACCCCCTTACGCGGACAACGATCGCCTTAACGCGACGACCGGTTTTCCATCGCGCTGTAAATCGTTCAGCAAAGCAGAACGTGCGCCAAGCACATTTAGCTATGGGTACTCGGCAGATTTCCTTAGGAATATATAAACGGTGCACGATAAAATGCGATCGATATATAATTTTATAACGTACGATTATACGATGTACGATCTATGTATGTATTATACGATATTAGACGACGACGGGCCTTTAAAAAAAATTACAAGCAGGACGTGTGAAACAAATCCAACTGTTGACGGACAGCGAAAAAAAAAAGAAAAAACGGATAGAGGGTAAAACGAATACATTTGAAATCTCGACACCCCAATCTCTCGAAAATTTGAAAATGTAACAACCATCGAAGCTTTAATTATTTGGAAAGATATCGCTGGTAGAGACGAACACGAACGATATAAAGAAAGTCATATCACACAGATTGATAGATACCTCGGCAATCTCGAATGTATCGCCAACAGAAGAGGAACATGTGCAATCTCCTCAAGGAAATGTTCTCGGTTGCGCTTTTACGCGCACTGCCACTTGTTTAGTTATTTTATATTCTTCTAGTTGTGTTTGTGTCCGTTTAATTAATCGTCCGTTTATCGTTGACAAGGACAACCAATATGTTCGAACAAAAGTAAAAATAGCTGCGAGAAATATGGTGCCGGTAGAGCGATCTTTCACGAACCAAACGATACCAATGGTCGTCGTCGATACGATTCACCCCGAATAAATAGATAACTGAATCGATTACTACATTTACGACGATATTTTACAGCTGATCAATTTGTTCCTTTTCTCTTCTTCTTCGGCCTGTTTTCCTCCGTTCCTTTTTATAGGGGTATATGTGTATCGATCTTTACATATACATATACATATAATAAATGAGAAAAAAATGTATGCACCTATATGTGCGCGCGTGTTCGTTTTTGTGTGCGTGTACGCGTGCGTATACGAGTGTGCGTGTGTATGCGTGTGCGTGTGCGAGTATCAGTGGTCTTTTGAAAAGTACGTTTGCGAGTGCGCGCGCTGCCCTTCTGCCTCGTTCGTCTTTCCGTACCACCTGTCGTTTCTACTGTCTCCTACCTTGGATGAGCGCAAACTGCTTGCCCGAATCCTTCGTTCAGACGAGTGCATCGGACTGAGAAAGAGAAGCGTTCAGAGAGGGGGAACATGCTCTTCGTTCTTTTCGAACGAAAAGATGGAGAAAGGGTGAACCTGGAGAGTCGAGATGTTGTTAGCCGGTACGGTTTGCCGACACCAGCGGGGGACAGGCGGATGTCGGAATACATGGGATATACATAAATATGTGTATATATATATATATATATGTATATACATATACATATATGTATATATACATACACACACAATTCACACGTGCGCACATGTGTACACGAAGAGTGGAAAAGAGTGGAAAGTGAGGGGAAGGAGAAGAAAGAGACGATGAAAGGAGAGGAAAGGAAGATGGGATAGTGTGAGGTCGAAGGACCAGCGTAGAACTGACCGAAGCGAATAGGAGATAAAAACGGAGAATGCAAGGGGAAACTGTATGAATAGAGTAGTATTCCGGAGTATGTGTATTCCGTTTAATAACGTCGATCGTGTTGATATGTCCATCGAAGAATTTTCATCTGTTCGCTTTTATTCGAGATTAAGGACATTATTACGATATGCATACGTAAACTAGGCCAAGGGCTCGTGTGCGTTCCAATGAACTTAGAATTCTTCTCGTTTATACTTGGTCCTATCGCGCGACTCCTGACAACGACGATCATCGAAGAAACAAGAGAGGAGAGCGCGATATCTCGAGGAGAAATCAAAAATCCAAGATAATCGAATTGATTCTTCGAGAGTGTAAGAATACAATATTTGATTAGAGGCCGTAGGACCTCGATGACCAACGATTAACGGTACATCGACCGAATAAATCAGCTTCTTGACGGTACATTCTCTAAACGTCGCGCGTTATTGCGTCTTGTTGCCAGAAATTTCGTGTAACACGTCGTCCGTGAAACGTTATCGTTTCGTTCGACGTTCGACAAGAGATTCGGAAATAAATCTTGACTGTCGTTGGTACGATGTACGAAAAAGTCCAAGCACAATGGAAAGAGAGACGTCGAATGAAGACATTGTTATTTCTCATTCTCGAATACACGTAAGTAAACGTGCAAATAAATAAAGTTTGTTATATCCTCGATTTGGAACACGAACGAACGGACGAACGAACGAACGATTAACGGTAATCTTTTATTCTAGTTCCCTTTCCACTTTATCTTTTGGCGATTCGAGAAATATTTGGGCAACATGTTCCGTCCAGGAATTGCGCGTAGCATCGTGCGCAAGAAAAACGCAAGAATACTCCGTTAGGAAGTTCTTCGAGACCAATCGCTTATACGAGGTCATTTTAAGTAACGTTATCTTTCGGCATCGCCAGCCGCTTATAAGGCGCAAGATTTAATACTTGTTTAGTCGTTGGTCGCTTAAAAAATAAAAAAATTAAAATAAATAAAAAATAAAAATTCCTATTATGTTATTTCATAAAGCCCGAACGTTATAATCAAGGTAATAACGACGATCTCTGGATCGTTCGAGGTATCGATGATATATGGTAGATATCTGAAGCAACTTGAAGCAAGATGCGAGAGGGGCATCTGAATTGACGTGTGTGAAAAATAAACGAAAACCAGAAGTAGCAATTAAATAAGTAGGGATTTCTAGACATTATGGAAGTGAAATTGAAACATTTTGATGCCGGTATTACGCGTTTTATCGATGGAAGCCAATACGAGGGTACCTGGAACGCGATTGGCATGGATGGAATTGGCACATACGTTTACCCACATAGTTAGTATAATTTGCAGAAAATCGAATGATAATATCGTTCTCTCTCTCTCTCTCTCTCTCTCTCTCTCTCTCTCTCTCTCTTTCACTTCGAAGAAATTTGAGAAGAGAATAGTTTTAGCGATCAGTGACAGGGGTGCGTAAGGATCGCTGCTAGAGTAAACGAATTTTCTGATAATCAATTGAGACTGAAATCGACAGAAATTGCTGATCGATGCCAGCAATTGTGTCTCTGCGAACGTATACATAGAAGCGATACCGTATGCGCTGGTTTTGAGCACGACATCGAGCATTTCTCGCGCGTAAGTCGTCGCGTACCGTTATACGACCATTTTGGTTGCTTCGTATACTAGAATTTGTACGTGTTTTTCATTTACCGAGTTCATTCGAGTATACTGGCCTGAAAATATGCACGGCTAAGTCTCTACATACGTATATGTCCGGGTACGCGAGTATCCGAATATCTTCGGCCTCGTTGATGCCAAAATTGAACACGGCCGGTCTTTTTCCATGGATCGAAATCGCGAGTCGACACGTTCCTTTCTACGAAATAGATGCCAAGTATCAAGGAGAATTCCGCGATGACACGTTTCATGGGCACGGCACCATTTATTGGCCTCGTGGTCAAAGGATGGACGGTGCATGGTCTCGAGGTGAATGGAAACGAAGCCGATTCATCTTCGCGGACGATTTGATTTTCCTGAAAAACGGATGGAAATACTGTAAATTTCCCGACAGACGGTTGGTAAAAACCATATTTACGAAGAGACGTTCGCGTATGAAAACACGCGTCCGAATTATCTCGAGAATCGACACGAGCACTTTCGTCCAGGTACCACCTATGTCTGAAATATGGATTACGTCCAGCCGGAGCTACGTTGAGTACCAACAACGAAAGGGAATTTATGATCCCACCCCTCTGTTACGATTCCGGGACCGGAATATTCGATCCTTCGACGCACTGTATCGTATCGTATCGAGACCCGAAAAAGGTATCGGTAGGTACCGCCGGAAACTTTCAATCGCAAAGACGAACAAAATCTCGTAGGTACTGCAAATACCGTCCATGACGATGGCTCGATGGATAATGGACAACTGTCGGAAGGCTTGGACAAAGCCGACCGGGCATCGGCCGCATCTTTATGAAAATTGGTTTCGGAAAGACACCGCAAACGATGCAACCGATACAACCGATGAAAAGGTTTCCCCCTTGTCGTCGTTGTTACCATTTTCGAAATGTTCTTCTCAATTTTGGTGGAAGAGGTATCAAATTACGAAACGATTACTGATCTTACGATACTNCGGCATCGCCAGCCGCTTATAAGGCGCAAGATTTAATACTTGTTTAGTCGTTGGTCGCTTAAAAAATAAAAAAATTAAAATAAATAAAAAATAAAAATTCCTATTATGTTATTTCATAAAGCCCGAACGTTATAATCAAGGTAATAACGACGATCTCTGGATCGTTCGAGGTATCGATGATATATGGTAGATATCTGAAGCAACTTGAAGCAAGATGCGAGAGGGGCATCTGAATTGACGTGTGTGAAAAATAAACGAAAACCAGAAGTAGCAATTAAATAAGTAGGGATTTCTAGACATTATGGAAGTGAAATTGAAACATTTTGATGCCGGTATTACGCGTTTTATCGATGGAAGCCAATACGAGGGTACCTGGAACGCGATTGGCATGGATGGAATTGGCACATACGTTTACCCACATAGTTAGTATAATTTGCAGAAAATCGAATGATAATATCGTTCTCTCTCTCTCTCTCTCTCTCTCTCTCTCTCTCTCTCTCTCTTTCACTTCGAAGAAATTTGAGAAGAGAATAGTTTTAGCGATCAGTGACAGGGGTGCGTAAGGATCGCTGCTAGAGTAAACGAATTTTCTGATAATCAATTGAGACTGAAATCGACAGAAATTGCTGATCGATGCCAGCAATTGTGTCTCTGCGAACGTATACATAGAAGCGATACCGTATGCGCTGGTTTTGAGCACGACATCGAGCATTTCTCGCGCGTAAGTCGTCGCGTACCGTTATACGACCATTTTGGTTGCTTCGTATACTAGAATTTGTACGTGTTTTTCATTTACCGAGTTCATTCGAGTATACTGGCCTGAAAATATGCACGGCTAAGTCTCTACATACGTATATGTCCGGGTACGCGAGTATCCGAATATCTTCGGCCTCGTTGATGCCAAAATTGAACACGGCCGGTCTTTTTCCATGGATCGAAATCGCGAGTCGACACGTTCCTTTCTACGAAATAGATGCCAAGTATCAAGGAGAATTCCGCGATGACACGTTTCATGGGCACGGCACCATTTATTGGCCTCGTGGTCAAAGGATGGACGGTGCATGGTCTCGAGGTGAATGGAAACGAAGCCGATTCATCTTCGCGGACGATTTGATTTTCCTGAAAAACGGATGGAAATACTGTAAATTTCCCGACAGACGGTTGGTAAAAACCATATTTACGAAGAGACGTTCGCGTATGAAAACACGCGTCCGAATTATCTCGAGAATCGACACGAGCACTTTCGTCCAGGTACCACCTATGTCTGAAATATGGATTACGTCCAGCCGGAGCTACGTTGAGTACCAACAACGAAAGGGAATTTATGATCCCACCCCTCTGTTACGATTCCGGGACCGGAATATTCGATCCTTCGACGCACTGTATCGTATCGTATCGAGACCCGAAAAAGGTATCGGTAGGTACCGCCGGAAACTTTCAATCGCAAAGACGAACAAAATCTCGTAGGTACTGCAAATACCGTCCATGACGATGGCTCGATGGATAATGGACAACTGTCGGAAGGCTTGGACAAAGCCGACCGGGCATCGGCCGCATCTTTATGAAAATTGGTTTCGGAAAGACACCGCAAACGATGCAACCGATACAACCGATGAAAAGGTTTCCCCCTTGTCGTCGTTGTTACCATTTTCGAAATGTTCTTCTCAATTTTGGTGGAAGAGGTATCAAATTACGAAACGATTACTGATCTTACGATACTACGGTCTTACTAAATCTTACAATTAGTGAGTTGTAAGAAATTTGATCGGTGTTTTAGAATTTCTACTTACTCGTTTTTCTACAGGTTAACAACATTTCGGCAAGGTAATCGGTGTATCCGCGAATCACCGGTCTCGAATGAATGTCATCGAATGGATCCGGATCTTCGAGTTTAGAAACACGTTGTGCGCAATCAAGTCGAACGGTAGTTCACGTTTTAATAGAGAATTACGAGAGTCCCAAAGCGTAACTAATCAGTGAAATGCTAGTCGTAAAATTCAAAACCGTTTATTATTTAACGACAACTTGTCTGCGTTCCGTTACAATGCCGAGGGCTTGCGATTCTTGATGTACTCGATACACTATCGACAATTTCTTTGGCAGGCATTCGGTGGTTTTACACGCAACGATGTCCAGTGTCACGTACACCTCGTGTATCCCACTTCCTTCGGGAACGTTGATCGACACTGGACTATCGAGGTCGCCGGTTCTCACTTTGGCAACCCATTTAACCGCTGAAACATTCACAGACCATCTTTGGGGCGCATCTTTGTTCAATTTCAAGCGATCGTCGAGAAAGATCACGTCAAACGTGATATTCAATTCACCTCCTCCCTCGCTTATCTTCGTCTCAAAGAAATAAACGTTCTCCGAGTCGGCCTTTCCAGATACACCAATGTTTATAGGTAACTGAAACAACAAAATTCTTAGACACGTGGGAACAACGTATTATTGCCGTCACCGCGATTACTTCAACTGTACTAATCGATGTGTTATAGTTTACCACAGCGATATCATTGTTCTTGGTGTCGATAACTTTCACAACATGATTGTTTGTGTCGGCCACGTATAACAGATCACCGTTCGAACTGACCACGATGCCACTGGGTTCGTCAAACTGTACAAACACGATCAAAATATCGTTCAGAAAACATTCCCGTACGTAACAAAATGAACAAATGCGAAGAAACTCTATGTAGTTGGAGAAAAAGAAAAAGGTCAACATACCGAAAATAGTTCGTTCGGTTTTCCATCGCCGTACATGGTTTTACAGCAACCTGTGCTTACATCGATCCTTTTAATTTTATGATTGTACGTGTCGGCTATGTAGACGACATTCTCTTTCGAGTGCCACGTTATTCCCAAAGGATGTTGAAGCTTAACACCGTATTGAACACCGTCGGAATCCCCGAAATCATGTAAATCCTGCGACACGGGAACACACAGGTTCCGTAACCAACAAGATTCAAATATATCGATATTTGGTTACCGAACGGATCCTCGGGCCGATTACACATTTCCTTACTCTGAAATCATTTCTATTTCGTATTGAAACTAACCGCCGGATTTCTATTTGCTCCGCAAACAGCAGATACTCGTCCATTGTTTAGATCTACGGATCTGATGGTGCTGCTTTCGCTATCGGCAAAAAAGACCATTTTATCCTCCTGCACGACAATCAATCCCGATGGTTGTGCTAAGCCAGCCGCGTGAGGATACGTATTATTGCGGTTCTCCTCCCTGCCGCTTCCAACGATTGCAGCACACGTGCTTGCTTTGTACTCTCTAGAGAAATCAAAGGCAAAACGAATTTCAATTCGTATGGATCCAAGATAACTTCATCGTTGGTGCCGAACAACAAAGCTGAAACGTCATGGTTACCTATTTTTCCACCAAATACTGTCTTCTAAAAAAAGCGCCCAAATTTGATGTGTACCTGCCATTGCGATTAATAACACAGGTACGGATTTATCTGCATACTCGTGTCTATAAATCGAAACGTCCCAAGGGGAAGACAAAGCTTGGTCCCTACCAGTTTTCCCTCCGACATAATCGTGACCTTGGAAGCCCGTACCAGCGACCGTACTTACAATTTTCTCTACTAAATCTATCTACAAATGTCACTGTGCACACATTGTTGCTTTCGGATATGCGAACGCGTCGACGAAAGCCAATACAATATCTATTTACCTTTCTAATTGCGTGATTTTCGTTATCAGCGACATAAATTACAGCATCTAACATGCATACACCTTGGGGAGCATTGAATTTAGCATTTTCCAAGTTTCCATTGCAAAATCCTGGTTCAGGACCACCGATAACGTATTCCACGTTTCCAGTTACATCTGTGACTAAAATTCTGTTATTGCCTGTATCGGATATTACCAAACATTCTCTTCGTTCGTTGCAAAAACTCTTTATTTTACTAGGAAACAGCAGGGTCTCGTTTCCTCTGGAAGGTAACAAATGTTTTGCCAGTTGTAGAGGAAGATTGCTATTAGATATCTGATATAACGATTTGAAATATGTTAATGCAACGCTCGCGTACGCAGGCAATTCATCTTTATGACCTTCTCCTATGAACACTGCAAATGGTTCTCCTGTTGGGCCTGTAACATATAAAACAGATTTGTTAAGCTATCCTTTAAGTATCGTTTTGTTCTAATATGTACTGTGATTATATTATTTCTATCCATACCTATCATCACTAACGTCGGCCAACAAGAAATTCCTAGGTCTTGCCACATAGACAGAGACGTATCGTTCACAACAGGATGTGTTATATTGTATCTCTGAATCGCTGCCAAGAGTCTCTTTGAATTACGTTCGTTGGAAAATTTTGCGCTGTGCACTCCGACCTAAAAAGAAACGTTTATTACTCTATTTCATAATTTCGAACCAATCGGATAGATAAAAAATGATACTTCGTATGAACTAACAACAACGAGACCATCCGTGATTGAAAATTGCTTTTCAAGAAGATCTAAATCTGGCAATACGTGCATACAATTAATGCAACAATAAGTGAAGAAATCCAGAACAATTAATTTGTTGGCCAGATGTCCATATACTGATAACCCTTCTGCGACGTTGAACCATTCTAATCCTGATATATTTTTAAAATAAGGAAATTCTTTTATAGTTTACTTATTTTCTATGCACTTTGAGTTCCATGTCGCCGATTAGGACAATGAGAAATGATAGTACGAAGAATGGTATTAATTAGGTACAATAAAAGAATGATGTGGTATAGATTAAGGAAGAGACGAGAAGAGAGAAGGAACTGAAAAGAGACTATTTACTCTTCTTCCATGGATAAATTGTAATGTTCGTATACATTTTTTATAGTAGTTCTATTCGCAACAGCTATTGCACCTAAGAGTGCCTGAGTTGCGTCTCTGATATCATTGTATTTGTGTAATAAATCCATGATTTCTTTAGTAGAAAGAAATTCCTTCTCGTGGTTCCTTAAATTGGATAATTCGCTATCAAGAACTTTTTCGAGTTCTATCAGTTCGTGATATTCATATACTTCTTTTTCCGATAAAAAACTACTTGAATTTATTAATAAATTCGAACTTGACCTGCCACTGTCCTTCGGAAGTGGCTCGTTGGATTCATTACACTCTTCGTTGCGCGACATTAGTGCAATCACAATATAGGGTGTATTTAACCTAACGAAAATCAAGGTGAACCGTTAAAATCTATCGAGAATCTTGATACACGCATACACATACACGCGTGCGTAAGTACACATTTAACTATAGCATCAGCGTCAATATCAATAGATCAAATAGATATAAATGAAAATGCCGATAAGTATAATTATGACCATTTATCAGAGATCGTGTGCTCGTAATCCCGTACAATTGAGTACCGAGCAATTTGATTATTTTGAATCCTACACGAAAACGAATATTAAAACTACGTAATATAATAACCTGCTTGAAAATCAATAATACGAAACCCTTTTCCCGTATATGTTTTGATATGCTTTAATATTAGCGCTTCTCGTTCCTGCTTGCCGTCGCACAATTCCAAATTGCAACGAACTTCCATACAAGTTTGCGTTAATTCTTGTACAATGTCTCGCACGTTCGCATTGCTTTTATTTTGACACATTGTAAATAATAATAATCGGCTGTATGCAATAAATACACATGTGTGTATTCATAGAAAGTTGTTAATTCCGGAAGACACAAGGTTTAAACGACTGTAGAATTGTGTGTAAAGGGAACTGAATTTTCTATGTATAAAAGTAGGGAGAAGAATTGTATGTGTGTTGTATTTGTACGCATGTACATATGTATGTGCATATGTGTATGTATGTATGTATGCATGTGTATATCTATGTATGTATTTTGTATGATAACGTGCATATACGTAAAGAGCCTCCGCGGGAAGATGGCATGGCAGTGCCAGGGCCATGATGGAACACGGACAGGCACAGATTTCAACAGTATATTGTGAGGGATTCCCATCTTGGGCACAGTAGTGGACTGTAGGGAGCTGGGAAGTAACTCCCGAATGTAGACAGTAGATGGCGTGGTTGACGGCACCAATCATCAACCACGGAGTATAGACGCCGGGAAGTCACTGGGAAAATATCCCTAAGACTGTCGGCGTCCCCACGAGACACCAAAGCTTGGCCTCATTCCACAGAGTACTAGCGTGGAGTACGCACGTGAAATAAAGAGATTCCGGAACCAATATAAGTGTCTAATTATTTCCTCCGTATCGTCGCACGTAAGAAATTACCTACAGGGTCCTACCTACTCCTACACGCCTCTAATCCGCAACTTGATCTGTTAGCTAGGATCGATATAGAAATTTTCTTTGGTGCTCTTCGAGCAGCAGATAGTACAAGCGGTGGGTTGGAATCTGCTGCAGAATGGTGGAGGGGAGACCTAACAAATAAAATTGGTTGATGCTAGCACGGCCCCCCTTCCCCCATTACTGAATGTGTTCTGCAGCGCATTCCAGACCACCAATGGAACAGCACACTAATGACAGGTTATGTGATCTTTACGGTTATATATAAATTTAAATATACTACCATTTGCGTATAATTGTAATGTGTACTATTTTAGTTAGTATTGATATAAAGAATTTCAGCAATATTCAATGATCAAATAAAAAGATTCGACATTTCGAGAGCTGAACGTATTGTTCCATTTCTGATAAGTTGTCTTCTAAACAATAATGTCAAAAAATTCATCGAACAACTCGGAAATGTTGGATAAATTAGATTGGATTCAAGTACGTAATAATCTACATGAACGCTACCATGTCGAATCCTTTAAAGAAAAGGTAGTACGTAAAACGAAAGAAAATCCTCTAGTACCACTAGGTAAGAATAATCTACGAAAGTCACAATATTATTTTAATCGTACTACGTGTTAAGTTATTACATTGTTCCCTTGTTACTACAGGTACCATAGCAACTATAAGCGCTCTAACTTACGGAATTTGGAATTTTTATAAAGGAAACACCAAAATGTCTCAGTACATGATGCGCGCGAGAGTAAGTGCGCAAGCATTCACACTTATTTCTATGCTCCTTGGACTTGCTGTTGCAGTAAAAAAACAAGAGAAATAAAAAAAATAAAATAAAAGATGGAATTGTTTATCCTCCACGAGCAATACATCAATACAAACATGCAGTCGTCTTTTTGTATACATGAGTTTGAAGTTCAACGTACGATTTTATAGTAAAAGTTATTTCGTATTTATTACACTAAAAGAAATACATAAATAATATCCTTTGTAGTACGTACAATAAATGTACAGGGTGTCACAAAATTATATGATACAACCACGACATGTACGAAAAATTCCGCCCGCAAAATCGTCCTTGACAGAACATTTTCAGGATTGCATCGTACTAACTATAAAGAATAGAAGTTTCAAAGGAACCGTATGTCGCAAATCAATCGTTCTCTTAAAAAGTTCGATTAAACTTTTATTAATTAAGATATTGACATCTTCAAACTTTAAAGGAAAATATTGATCTTTACGATCGAATTTGTAACGCGGTCTGCACATCGCCGACCTGACCTTGCCTACATTTCGAAGTCAGTTGAACCCGAGAATCCAAATAGCGTATTAAAACAGACAATTTAAGATGCATACCAAAGAATGAGATTGTATCATGGATTTCTGGCTTAATGTAGGGAACAATTTAAAAATAAGACTACGGGCATGTTTAATAGCTGGTAGTCCTCGTGCAGAAGTAAGGATAAATGCATGTTTGGTAAAGCAGAAGGCGAAGAAATTAAGGTGAACGTGAAATTTCGGTTAAGACGGAATTTAAAAATATACAATCAATTATTTAGAAAAAAGTTTTCTCAATTTTCAGAATATTTTCCTTCAAAGTATGAAAAATGTGATTTTGTTAATTATTAAAACTTTAATTTTTCAAGAGAACCTTGACATATAATTATGTGACACCCTATACAAACTACAGTTCATGTTTGTAAGAATGCGTAATATAGAAACATTTTGTATTACCAATATTTTACCGTTCTTATATGGAAATTCATCTATAATGAATTGTATTGAAAAATCTCCTATGTGAATTGTGCGCAGTGATCGAAGTCTGACAGTCCAGGCCTAGGGTTGCCGAACTAATATCTGCAAAATTATGATGTTTGAATTTTACTATTCTTTTTGAAGCAGATAATCTCGTAACAGATTGCGAGTGAACGGGTTCTGTAAAATAGTGCATAAAATTATTAATTGTTTAAATGTAATTAATAGAGTATGATTTTTTATTTGAAGAAATTTCATTGTCTGGGAGGTACTTACCCATTAACGGAATTTCGTCGTATAACGATCCTTGTCGCCTGTTGGTTACAAATAGATTTCTCGCGTTTACATTCGAGCATGAATTCTCCGAACACGGAATTCGCTGAATATTAATTGCCGCATGTTTCCATTTTGAATGTTCATCGATACGATGTATTAACTGTTCAAAACACTTTTGAACATCATCGTTTAAAGAAAATTGAATAATATCGCGTTTCTTGACACCGTCCACGCAATTGATAATCCGTAATTGACAGTTTACTGATTTCGATTGTCTGACGAGGGTATCCTAAAATAAAATAGCACACAGTTTTATTAACGGAATTGTTAAAGTTACGCGAAATCTTCGAACGTTTTTAAGAACGTTTACGGCCGCGGTCTTCCGCACCTTGTTCACGCAAATCGTGAACGTAGGTTTTTGTGATTCTTCTGCAAGTTTTTTCGTTTTCCAGGCTTCTAATTCAAAAGCATATAATCGTGCCCAGCAATGTTGATCGTTTATAATTACAGATCCTACGACTAATTCTTTATCAATACAATCTGGTTGTACAGCTAAACGGCAACAGAAGTGTCCAAAAAGTGGCAAAGCATGGGCTTTGGTTTCTAAAAGATAAAATTTCGAGACTTTGAAAAGAATTCCCTTGATATTCGGTGCATCGATTTTAAATAAATAATTTCCGTTACAAACGGTAGAAAAAAAAACCTGTGAATTGAAATCAACCTGTATTAAAATTGTTCAAGGTCAAGTCGTGGGTACATATATTCTCATCTGTGTCGTTAAGAGTCATTTTCGCAAAAGCCACTAAATGAAATTGTGGTCCCCTGAAAGATAGAAATGATAGATACAATCAATTAATTATTTGAAAGGATGCACTGTGCAAGAAGAAGAATGGTAGCTCACATTTTGGTAACATTGTATTCGTCGCGTAGAGATGACGCCAACTTTCTACCCACAGTTTTTGAAATCGACGAATGAATAGTTCTCCGGATTCTTCTAGGAGTACTAGCAATGCTAAGATCTTCTTGTAAAATGTGACTATAGACCTCTAGCGTTAACTCGAACTCTGCTGGTACACTGTTACTGATGATGGAACGCGATATTACTTCTTTCAGTTATATTGTACATTAGATTATGAAAATGCGTACACTTTCAATGAACACAATAAATAATACTGCATAAAATTAAACAATATCTTACAATAATAAAACATCAGGAAAGCTAATGTCTGTCTGTTCTCTATCGATAGGATAAAGTAAGGTTGTATCATGAATTTCAGTACCAATACGAGCTAAACAGAAAACTGCAAATCTCCTATGATCTCCACGATTTTTAAAATGATCCGAATCTCTCCACATCAAGGGGAATCTGAGATCCGATATGGATAATTTTCCTTTAGTTTTGGCAATGCTGTAACACACAATATATACTAGCTGATGCTATAATTTAGACTTGATTGGATAAAGATACCTTGTGTTCAATGTAGCATCCATGTCACGGTGTTGTAATTCATTTGTATATACGGACATTCGTTTGCTTGATATGAGTAGAGCCCGTGCAGCTTCTAAACTTTGTGTAGGATGCCGCGCAGCAGCTAACAATCTTGACGAACCTTCCTTTATTTTCACTTCCAAATCGATCTTTCTTTCCAAATCATGTTCCTGAAGAGGACACACAACTATTATGTATCGACTCAATAAAATAAAATGAAGTATATTAACAAAATTCATGGTAATTCATTTATCTTCCTCGTATTTATATGAATACGAACGCAGTAGTAATCATTCTTATTATGAATTTCGTGATTCAAATTTCGTTGATTCGTAGATTGAAAAGAAATGGTAGAGTAAGCATTAAATGTAAACAAACAAATTTAAATTTACCGCTATGTTTTTAAAGTTTCGGATGCTGTCTCGTCTTCTAACTCTTGCTTGATAATCACTTAAAGAACGTAGATAATTATTTTCTTTATCCAAAGTATTGCTAAAACAACCACGAATCGTTCCGATACTTTTTCTACGTGGCGCCATTTTGAAATTTGCTGTTTCTTTTTCCTTTCAACGCGTTCAAATGTAGCCGTAGCCAGCCATTATGAGAAACCGTTGCATACGAGAAAAAGGAAGAGGTAGTGGGGGTAATGTAGGAAGACATAGGAAGAACAAAGAAAGCTGTTACATGTGGCATACATACGCGTGTACATATGTACAATGTATCGAAATAAATGCATACATATGTAGGTGTATGCACACAATAATGGGTCCTACCTCTGTACACCTCAAGGCCGCAGCTTGATCCGTTAGCGGGGATCGATGTAGAAATTTTCTTTGCTCCGATTGGCTGACGATTCACTGCCGAGACAGGATCCATTGCGAATGGACGCGCAGTAAAATAGTGGGGATCTGTGCGCCAGCTTTGCGAGTAAGAAAAGCGTGCAAGAGTAGATCTCATTACTGTACACATGTACAACAGGCTTGGTTACATACATGAACATATGTTATATTGTATATGTAGCAAATCTTTAAGTAAGTCAGATTGTTTCTGCTACATGTATAACCTTGACATAACGCATATACGAAAACAAGATCATCAGTATCATTTAAATAATGATTTATGGTTTGGAATAAAGACAAGGACAGGACAAAAAACGGTTGATTCGGTCCTGAAAAATCGAAAACTTATATTTGGTATAGATGTATTCACAAAACAGCGATTAACATATAGTTATATATTCAAGGGGCACTGATTTTTCATTTCTTTTCCTTGTCTTTATCCTTCTCCTTCTCTTTTTCTTTCTCCTTGTCTTTATCCTTGTTTTGCTGAAGAGATCCAACAGCTTGACGGACGGCTTCCGAATGAGGATCAACACCCGGTAAATTCTCCAAAACTGATTGCAGAAAAGCTGGATCGGACATTACAGCGGCATAGTCTTCTTCGACTTCCATCGCCTCTTCTTTCAAGGACTCGTGTTCTTCTGCAATAGAAAAAGAGGACAAAAGACACGATCAATAGATTTCAGAAGCACTTGTTACGATTAATGTACATGGATGTTGTCGTACGTTGATCTTGCATGGACATCTGCATGGCAAAAGCAATCTGCTCCTCTTCTGTCATACGAGCAAAGTCTGGTACATTTCCACTAGATGGTGTAGTATTATCAGATGCCGAAGATGAATCTTCCGCACCCTCGAGCGACATGGCAAGCGCGCGTTTCAACATTGTTTCTTCATTCGGTGCCTCTTTAATAGTTTCTGGTTGCTTATTCGCAGCTGCTTCGGTCGCTTGCGCACGCCGGGCTTCTTCTTCTTGACGTTGCCGTTGCTCTTCCATAGAAACGCGTAATGCCTGTGCAAAGAGACTGCTAGAAAAATGTATTTCGTTCAATGCCCTCAAGACATTAGAAAAATGGTAAATTACAAACCAATGCCAACTCTGGATCTTCATTTGGATCAACACCAAATTCATAAGCGGCTCCTCCCATACCAGTACCGCCCATTCCATCTTCTCCTTGAATTATGGGAGAAGAAATTAACGCGTCGGATAAATGTGGCCCAGGCGGAACCGTGACCAGGTGACTGCCTGTACCATCCTTTCCATTCAAGGTGTTAACAAAGGCAGTCAACACTTCATTGTTGATGCTTTCCTCACCAAAGCTAATTACATCCACATTCACTTTTTCTTTCTTCAATCGTTTTGCTAATTTTACGAGTTCCTTTTCATCAATTTCTATCGGACTACCAATAAAAGCCACGATACGCATTTTATGATTTTTACCTTGACGATGTTTCAATGCTAACTGTTGCATAATATTGAATGAATGATTAATATTAATTGCGTGCTGATTGTTTATACAATAAAAAATTAAGGGAAAGCAAAGGAAGACAAAACATACTTACATGCGCAATCCTTATTCCAGTAATCAAACATAGATTACCATTGGGTTGTACTTGATGAAGCTTGGATAAAATTCTACCCATGTCGCTAGTTAATGTTGCCAATACTTCGACGCTGTTGGAAAATGTGAAGTTAATATCACGGATAACAATGTGTTTTGCATGAATTATATATGTGAAATGACTTTGCTTACTTGGCTAATGTTATTAAACCAACATTGTTCTCAGGATTAGACCTAGACTTTGAGTGGCAAACCAAATTAACGGCGTCCTGTTGTGCTTGAAGACGTGTTGGTAAAAAATCTCCATTTCTCATATAATCGCTGTTGTCGACACTGAAAGGTTTATGCAGACACCAATAATTATTCAAAGTTTCCAAGTTAACTGGAAGTTATTTTCTAATGTTCGGATAACCTCTAACTAGATTTTATTATACCAAATACATTTGTAATGGAAACCACCCACTTTCCGTTTTCTCGATAAAAAACATTCTACATTAAAACATTTCAGACCATACTCAATATTCGATAATTTCAATACTGTGAAAAAAAATTGATCGTGTGTGTCCTGTACGGTTCGTTTCAACTTTGCACTGTCACTCACGTTCAATTTTTGCGATCCACCAAAATATTTTTTCATATAGAACTATTTCAAAATTTGATCAAACTTTTAGAACATGGTTATATTGTAGCGTAAAAAGCAATAAAATATAGTACTAATGTCAATAAATTAAAGAAATGTCAATAGCTTACCATATCATCGTACTTTCCAGTACCATCTTGGCTTGAGGTTTGAGTCACCGTGTTGTTTCAGTCCGCCACGTTCCGTTCTGTCTGGCGTTGTCGTATTTTCCTATGTTCAGTTTCGTTCGGTTCAATTCCCATACGTTGCTTTATTTGAAATTCACCTATATACAGGGTGTCCAAAAATGTTGGGGCCAAACTTTAGACTATGTGTCACTGAGGTCAAATAGATGAAAAAAGTTCATATAAACTTATGTCCGAAAATGCTTTATTGAAAAGATATAAGCTAGATCACCTGACCTAACGCCTCTCGACTTCTATTTATGGGGTCATGCAAAAGAGTTGGTTTATAAAAATACGATAGAAACAGAAGATCAACTTTGGGAATGCATTCAAAATGCATTTACTATTATTTCCAATACAAATGAAATATTTGAAAGAGAGTTCGACAATTACTAATTCGACGAATGGAAGCCTGTATTCTTGCTGGAGGAATTTTCGAACATTTCTTATAACTGTTCTTGTAACTAACTAAATTATAAATATCTTCAAAAGTTTATATAAACCTTTTTCATCTATTTGACCTCAGTAACACGTGGTCTCTAAGTTTGGTCCCAACCTTTTTGGACATCCTATATATACACGTCAATTTGGAAAGACCACGGATTTGCGAATAATTATTTACATACGTAAACAAGTGGTGGTGAAAGGAAAAGAAAAGAAGAGAAAAGTGAAGAAAATAAAATAAAATAAAATAAAAGGGTAAATACAATGTTAAGGAGAATTGGTGAAAATATCGATATTGGATATACGCGTAAGAAAATTAGACCGTATACATATTCTTAAACTATTTTACTTAGAATTACCATAAGTACGGACGATGATACGAATGTATGGCTTGTCATAAATAAATAGAATCGATCGATCGATCGAAGCCTTCGTATTATGTATGTCACAAGACAAAATTATATACTTATCGCGAGATAACTTAAATGAAAATATATATATATAATTTCAACAAGGTTAAATATTATATATATATATATATATATATATATATATATAAATTATATATATTAAATTATATATATAATTCAACAAGGTATTATACATACATATGTACATGTAAGAAGAACATACATGCACTTTCGAACACACGTACACACGCACACACTGGCTGACATATATTGTAGAGTGTTTAAAAATTTCAAATTAATAGTAAAGAGATTGATCAATAAGTGGGTGAAGATTCAAGAATCGTATCCAGTTGAAGTGTCGAATATCTGGGTGCTTGGTCCATTAAGACTACTTCCTCGTAAGTAGGTGGTCGGTCGGTGTGACACCTTGATTTTAAAAAGATTTGCGTGGACCTTCTTCTATCACTGTAAGCCCGAAGTATAACGATAAGAGGACCTAAAAGCAACATTACTACACCGATCGCCAGCATTGTTATAGCAACAGCCACGCCGATTCGATTTACTGGAGCATGCTGTAATTTGTGATCGATGTTGTCGATATTCGCTAGCCTACTGAAATTAGTAGAACCGGAATGTTTCAGTTGAAATAATACGTTCTCTTTTCTGTCATAAAGATTTGTTGTATCGAACGTGGCTACGTCGTGGATGACACTTTCTGTTTTATTTTTCACTTGTTCCTCTTTGTTCTCGTTAGAAGCACGAATTGTCAAAATTTGTATCGCGCGGATGCCTCGAGGGTCTTGTTTACGATCAATCGTAATTCGCTTTTTAACAGCGATATTGTTTGCTTGATAAGATGCATATGGTTTACGCGACGACCATATTCCGTTCTGTTTAAAAGCTTCAGAACTGTCGCGATCCATCGCGGTGTCATTCTGTCGAGTTGCAATCTCGACTATTCGATGACGATTTTCATTAAAACTCGATTCTTGGGTCACCTCTTTCTCGTTCCGCCTTGCGATCCTTTCCTGTGAAAATAGTGTACCCGAATCTTTTGCTAATTTACTTTTGCTAATTTACTTTATATACATACATTCTATACAAATGCAGTATGCATGCATGTATGTATGTACGTGCATCAAAATCTAAGTAAGAAGCTTGGAGGAATGTCAATCGATTCCTCTTCTTTTTGGACACGTTATTTCTTTTTACAGAGTTCCGATTTTCGATGCACGACGTTTATAATGATTTCTTATTTATGCAAACATATTGTATAATTGCGAAGATCCGGTAAATAGGCACGTGTACGTTACTCGAATGCAATCCACTGTATACTGTACACGTATACATATGCTATATGTGACTATATACATATACAATATGTGCATACATATATGTACATAAACATAAACATATATACACGCATGTATGCGTATCAATGTACATACGCATGTATGTTTTCGTTAACTAATATTCTCTCCAGCATGTACCTTCTACGCACACGCGAGTAGTGTAACCGCGCCTTCAAACGAATTACATATTTGATACTTTGATGATCGATAGAAATGTCAAACCTGTGTATCGGCAGTGTCGTTTCGTAGCGTATCCTGAATGTCACGTAAGGATTTTACACCTTTTCGGAGAAGTATAATCCCAACGACAGTCCAAACGGTTAATTGAAAGATTATTATTAATTTTGGAGTCCATTTATTCGTTTGTGCGATTAAAGACATCTTTATAACAATACGTTGCACGTCAGAAAAGGAAGCCAGTTTTAAGCCTGAATCACAATGGACAAAAGACACCGACGCAAATCAATGTGGTTACGCAAATGGATCGTCGTCGAAAGAAAAGTAATGTGTGTACATGTAGTAGAAGTGGTATTATTTTACCGTGAAAAACTTACTTCCCCGTTGTGAAATGCACGTGTTTTCCGTTTCGAAGAAGATTGTATGTAACTCTCGATGTCTTTTTCCTAAAATCGATCCTCCGATTCCGAAAAGCTGAGAGAAACGGAATTGATACTCCGATTATCGTTCCGTTCCAACAATCTTATTAATTCGAAACAGAAAAGAACTTGACACATTACTCTTGATTAGATTTTGACGATCGAAAAGTTCTGAAGGCAGTTGTCAACTCACATTTTAAGAAAAGAAGGAGCTCAATCGATGCGACAAGTGATTGGAAACACGAGAAAGAAACTATATGTTTTGTAGAGACATTAAATGCTAAGTGCTGTGTTGTTCTCGCGTCTACTTTTGCTTCCAGTAAATACCGCAACGCATAGACGATTCGATCGTCTATCGATATCTAGGGAAAGAAACGATTGTTAAAACGATTACATTATTTGCAGGTATCATCCATGTGAAAATGTAAATCGATTGCTTCAAGATGTAAGGAAGCACGTTTACATCGAGATCGAAGAGTCAGGTTCTGGTGATCGACACGCGAGTCGTACGATAAATATTTTCTTTACCTTCGGTATCTTGCCGCGTTTCTTCTTTTATAACATAATACACATTGTTAAAATGTTATTAGTCAAAATCGATCGGCACGAATTCATTGATATGAACTTGATGCGTAGACTTGCGTGATCCAATTTATGCCGATCGATCATAACTGTCGATTCGCTTGGTTGACCGCTTACGGCTTACACGACCGTCTCTTCGGTCAGTTTGTCGTCGACGAATACGAATACAAATACGCACACGCATACGTCATGCGTTGTACACATCGTTATACACTATGTATGTAATAGTTACATTTTACAATCGTCCCACCGTTCCTCCTTCTCTACCCCACTCTAATCGCTCTCCACGACTGTCACGTGCTTCTTCGAGTTCTCGCTTTTTCTTTAGAAAATCCATAACTATATGTACGTATGTACCTAGTTTCCATACATATTACAATTATAATTAGTTGGACAATTCGAATCGCCATCGGAGTTACATCAAATAATTATATACCGTGCGATCTATCGCGATCTCTCGAAGAATATGTTTATTTTTTTTTACCAGGTTTTGTATCGTAACTGTGGTTTTCATTTGTAGTGCGAAAGGAAAGAAAGCTATCGGGAAAAGCAAATGAAAGAAATTAAGTACCGTACAAGATAGATTTACGCGATACGAGAACAATAGTTGAACATTTCTTTGTCCTATAAAAAATGTATTAAGTCAGATTTGTACGATTATCCGAATTATGCACGTAAAGCACTATTTATTTTGCCGTGATCTATGTATTAATATCCATGTACGTACTGCGTTGTGTACTGTATACATCATATACTACGCAAAATGTATACATATTGTATGCATTCACATACAATAGCAACAGCAGCGGCAGCCACTGAGTTAGTTGCGTCTTGTGTATTGCGTGCGTGATCACAGTGATCGCAAAAGAAACTGGGAAGCAAGGTCGCCGATGGCTCCACCTATGCTAGCCATCTGGGTGATGTAATTTCTGGGAATTACATCTTAGATATGTACAAAACCGTTTACAATTTACGACTTTACGATCGTTTACGATATCGCCCAACGGCGAACATTAGGTCCATGTTTTAGGCTGTTTCAGGATTTTTGACGATCCTGCTTTGGGCAGAGTCCGGCGATTGTGGCGCTTCTTGTGGAGAAAAAGTAAAGCTTGGTAAGGGGGGTCCGTACCATGCCAATTGATGTAACGGCAAAATACTCAAACTGTTTGCCAAAAATCGATTGTTGGTAATTCGACTAACAGCTTGAGCATTTTACCACTGTACGAATGTCTTTATTTAAAGTGCCGGGGACTGTTCTATTCCTGTTACACTGTTATTCCCTTACGCGTACAACATTTCTTTATAGAGTTCCTATTCTTCAACAAAAAATACTACATTTCTTTCTATATTTTCTATCGACAATCCATTGGAATCGTCCAATCCTATTTGTGAGGTCTCCTCTTCGCCACTTGGACCAGATTCCGAGCAGAATACCTGATACCATTGGACATATTAGACACCAATGGACACATTGGCTTTGAGTGGAAATTCCACGAACGGTCAGGATTCTGGGAGGTCCGTTACCAACCGAGTTGGACGGTTGGCGCCAGCGTATATCGCATCAGGTCCATGGTTATTATATGTGTATTAACGTACTTACGCGTTTTTTTTTCGCGCTGAACGTGACCGAATGAGAAGACAGTGAAATCGATAGTCATATTTTAATTTTACCTTAAAGTGTCTTCAATTTCTATTGGTATGACGTTTTGCAATACTTTATTATCTAATGGATTTATGACAACTTTGCCTCGAGCAGTTAAAGTGTAACTAGCTATCGTACATACATACGTCGGGGAACTTTGCGTCGGTAAATTTGAGATTTTGAGATCTGTGTGCTCTTTTTTTCAAGCAAGCTGCAAAAGTAGAGAGGTCCAAATAAAATGGCTTGCGAGACTAGAGAGAACGGAGAATTTAAACTCGTATCTCGTCGAAAGAAACGAATGCCTCGTCTTCGGAATAATGGCGATCCAAACATACCTTTACCAGACAGCGATAACGACGACAATTTTAGCAATATTAACTGCGAAGCTCTTTTTGGGTAAGAAATTACTGTGACATGACATTCGGTTCACATATACATGCCCGTTTGTTTATTTTATAATCATTTTCAGAAAACTGCTCGAGGCAGAGACCAAATTAAGAAATACATTGTTTGCCAATAATGTTTTTCAATCTTTGGAAACCTGTTTGAATGCTTTGAACATCGATGGTATTTCGGAGATACTGTGTTACGGTCTGGGTCCTTTCTCGCGTCTGAAGTCTTCTAAATATCAACTGGCGTTGTTGCTCTCTTTAAAAAATCAGTACAATTCGCTTGTATACATATACGATCCAATTTTTTCATCAAAAGAAATAAAGTTTTTAGCACAGTTTGGTTTCAATGTTTTAAATATCAACGAGGAGGGTAAACGAATTGTCAATGATAAAGTGACATTGGTGTATATGCCGCACTGTTCGATGCATTTAATTAATAATTTTCTTTATGCGAATTGGAACGAGAGGTTATGTAAATGTATTCTTTTGACAAATAGTTTTTCCACTGTAGTCGATAATTTGACAACAACCAATAGGTCTGCAGACATTGATTATATCGTACGTATTCAACCGTACACCACAGAAATTACATTGAGGAATAATTTTTTGTACGAAGAAGCATTCAATGATCTCAACCTTCACATATTTTTGGAGCAAGATATTGGTACCGTGCCTAAGAATTTCTGGAACGAGAGAAAGGAACCCTGCTACCGACACACGACTGTAGATTATTTCACTGCTAAACAAACAGAACAAATTGATGCCAAAAACTATAACTGTGATTCTAGGTATTAGATTCGTTTAGATTCGTAAAATTTTTTGTGCTAAATTTACAGAACATTTGAATATTGAAACGACAAATATTATGTTACGTTATGTTTATAGCTTTTGATAACAGATCTTGTTTGTTTTAGTCCGTCTAGATGATGAAACCCAATGTACGATTGATTCGTGCGCTTATACAGGAAATACGAAGGTCGTCCCTCGATCGAAAGATAGGAAATGATATAATGGTGCGTTACATTTTGGAGCAAGCGCGAGCTCATCGAGAAACTTCAGAAATTTTATGTAAAGCTCGAGAAGAGTTGAAGAATTTAGCAGACACGTATTTGTGTTATTTGAATTCTCGGAGAATGTGCAAAGAGATTTTGATCCGATACAGCGGTAAAGGTGAACGAAGTACCCAAGAAACTGCTGACCTTCTAGGATTTAAACTACCCCCTGATCCATTGTAATCTTTGTTCAAACTAGTTATGAACAAAATATATGTTTATTGATCGTTAGGATCGTTCAAGGCAGTACAAAACAGTAAGAAAACAGTAGGATATATAATATAAAATATAAAAGGATGTATAATATAAAATATAAAAGGATGTATAATATAAAATGTGAAGTAGAAAAATAAAACTAGAACCGGCGATAATGATTAATTCATGAATATCCTCTGGAATATTCTTATGAATGTTTTCATGAATATTCTTTACGAATACACTTGGCTATAGTTGATAGCTGCATGTTACTTGTACCTTCGTAAATGGTACCAATTTTGGAATCTCTGAAGTATTTTTCTTGAGGAAAGTCTGTCGTAAATCCTACTCCGCCCATGAAATCGATGCATTTTGCAGTAACGCGTAGAGCTGTTTCTAAAATTGTTCGCAAATGTTCATTCGTTAATATTATGTATGTTGTGTACCATATCGTTCCTATTGTAAATATTATCACAATTATTTTGTTTTGTTTATTTTGTATGTAGTAAAAACGAACTGGTATTACTACTTACCCGATGCAACAAGTTTCGCCATGGCAGCTTCTTTTATAACGTCCTTTCCCGCATCAACTAATCTGGCAGCATTGTAAACCAATAACCTGGCACACTCGAGTTCGGTAACCACTTGCGCAATTTGATGTTGCATCGACTAAGAAAACATTAAGATGCTTATTACTAATGTACATGTAATAATATAGTTCTAGTTTAGTTACGTTTCAAAGAAATAGAATGACTTTATTTTCCATACTTGAAATGAAAAAATATCTTTGCCAAATTGCTTTCTTTCCAAGGTGTATGGTATGGTAGCATCCACGCATCCTTGTGCGATACCTATCATTTGAGCACCGATACCGATTCGACCTTCGTTGAGGAATCCAGCCGCGTACTTGTAACCATGGCCGTACTCTCCTAAGATATTCGATTCTGGAACCTGTGAATATACACACACGATAGTGTAGATAAGTACATACCATATATATTTCGAGGAATTATTTTCCTTACTTGAACATTATCAAAATGAACCATGCAGGTACCGGATGCCTTTATTCCTAGTTTATCTTCCGGCTTGGCAACCGTCAGTCCGGGTGTATCTCGCTCCACAAAGAACGTGGTAATGCCACGGTATCCCTGAAATCGTATAATTACGAATGGTCGATATGTTTTTAATTATTATTGAGAACATAAGTGGAATAGCACCAACTTGACAGATTAACTTACGTTAGATGGATTCGCGTTCGCAAAAACTATAAATAATTCGGCAATGTCTGAATTTGAAATCCACATTTTTGTACCATTTATCAAGTAGTGGGATCCATTCTTTTTTGCTACAGTTTTTAAGGAAAACGCGTCGGATCCTGATCCAGGCTCCGTAAGGCAAAAGCTACCCGCCTAAAATCAGAAAAGCGTCACATGTTGATCAAGCAATATTTGTTTGTCGATTGTCGATTAATTTATAATAAATATATGTAGCTACATACATATGTACGAACATATGCAGTGATTCAATGTGAAAAATTAAGACGAAAGTATGGAATGAAATTTCTGCTCTAGAAGACTTTGTGATTAAGAAAATCGATCCTGTAAGTATCTCATGTTTGTGTGTGTGCGCAATGTCTAATTAGAATAGACATTATTTATTATTTAGAAGTAGTATTATTAACGGGTCACGAAATTCGATTCCACATACATCTTCGACTTGATTTCTCGCGTAGTCCCATTAACGGTAATATCTACTTACGTAAGTTTGTGCTAATCGTGGCAAATATTTTGCTTTTTGTTCTTCCGTAGCAACTTTCGAGATCAATGAATTTACCAAGGTATTGTGAATGTCGACCAATGCCGCGACAGACCCATCAGCTTTTGCCACTTCTTCGACCGCTAAGATCATAGACATGAAATTACATCCAGAACCACCATATTTTTCGGGAATCTGGATGCCCATTAACTAAGGTTGATAACAACACATTTACGTAACATATTATTTCATCGTGAAACAAGATAAAGATAAGATTGTCAGGTAGACATATATCATATATATATTTACATACACCATTCTCGAAGAGTTTTTGCAACAATCCTTCATCAATCTTGCCTTTCTTATCCATTTCGCGCACGAGCGGAGTAATTTCTTCCTGTGCCAATTTATTCACTGAAATTGAATTTGATTCATGTAGCTCTGCACTCGATAATCGGAAACATTCTAACCGAAAGCATTTCGGTTTGCAACGATAAATCTTCTCTGTATAGAATATGTACGTATAGAATAAAATATTTACCAGTTTGTTTCATTAGGAGCTCGTCCTCCGTGAATTGAGTCAGAGGTCCTGGACATTGGTCGTATCGTGGTGTAGCGATGCCTAAGTGTCTTTTAAAGCGTCCGTTTCGCGGAATCTAAATCAAGTTATTAAGAAATGAATGATCGATTAGCGGTAGAAGACGGTTTAATTCGTTCGATGACGGCGATCATTTACGAATAATGATACCAAAAACATACGACACCGACTGCGTGGCGGAGCAAGGAATACAACAGTAGGTAAGAATACTCGTAAGACATAAATCGTAAGTCATAAATGATAAGAAAGTTGCGTAAATACTGTATAATAAAATATAACGACGAAACTATAGCTATACGTGATTTGTTTTCGTGATTAGAGATAAATATGTTTACAATAATAAGTATGTCCCAATAAACATGTACATATAGGATGCAGCAAATTACTTCGATAACGATGGACGTACGATAAGAATACACTACGATGTATGGAAACTCGTTTCTGCGAGTAGAATTGGGGACACGCGATACATACTTGTAAAACAGTAGCTCGCTATCGGTTTTATTATTTTTAAATGTAAAACAGTTTGCACGATTCGGAGCGGCTATTGCTCGTTTTCAAATTAGCGAAAGCTTAATTTGTAACCTATTGTTTCATTTGAATTGGAATAAAGCCGATCAGCGAATCGATATTGAAGTCGAAAGACGAGTGCTGCCCCATTAGATTCCGTTAGATACTTATACATGCTCTGCCCGTCTACGAAAAAATGGCTCCGCGATCAAAATTTCGCCAGTGGGATTTGATAGTAGGTAGACGGGATATCAGATGATAGGGGATAGATCCCTACAAGAAAAGCTTCTCTACTTGTGCCATCTTTTCGTGATAGTTAACGTTGGTGTCACAGTAACTGCTACTCTTTTGAAATCTCGGCATCTTCTCGTTGTTCGACCGAACAACCGTAGCTTGGAATACGTATGTAACAATTATTTATCGAAACTACAAACAAACAAACAATACTATTTATACCTACTTGTCTTATTAGCGTTGTAAACAATTTTGTATTTAATTTGAAGTTCATGTTTCGTTACGAAATCTTGTCGTTGAAGTAAAAGTAAACGTATATATGTTGGTCGAAGACGTAAACGTAGACAATTTAACTGAACAAAGTAAGCACGCGTATCGCACGGACCCAAACTGAGCCAACACTGACTTCTGGATCGTGATATTGTGAATATCGCCCCCTCCCCCCCCTCCAGTCCGAAGCTCCGTGGTCCACAGCTTATTCTGTCCAGGCGTCGAACAGGTTCTTATGTAATAAGAAAAACAAATACGATTTCCGATGTATTATCGAACCTGTCTCAATCCATCAATCTCAATCTTATCCATACCTTTGCTTTTGCATCTACATTTGCATCCGCTTTTGTTTTTGTTGTTACCATTGTTCTTGTTGTATGAACAATAGGTGCGTTGCTACACGAGCACGGTACGAGTCTGTCGAAAGAAGAGAAACTGTACGAATACACTAGATTATTTTCGTGTAATAAAGTTCAATAAAAAACAAAAGCAGATATGTTGTTGTTGAGACACCATTTAAGAATCACGTTGCATCTGGCTCTATTCGACGCGGTATTGTGCTTCCACACCATATGTAATTCGATTGCCGTCGATTGAAGCTTGTTAACTGTTAACACGACGCCAGAAACATGCATTTTTTCGTACGCTTACCGGCGTACTTTAAATTACGCGTGCCAACATGTAATATGCGATAAAGAAGATATCTGTGCCGCAGAAGAACAGAGCAGAAGAAGAAAAACGAACGCGTGCCGTAACGGCATGGAACGGCACATTAAGCGTATCTGTATCGTACTCTCGCAAATAATGCTATGTAGCTTTCTATTTCGACAACGTAGTCGTAAGCTCGAGTCACGTTAGCTAACGCTGGTGAACTGTTGCTATGTTAATCGTTACGTTACGTTACGTTACGGTCTTATTATATTCTAGTGTACGTTACACATTTTCCCGTTCGGATACGCGAGAAATTTCAGCAAGAGCGGCAAATACGATAGATCGTGTATCGTGTTCGCGTATCGTATGCGACTCGCGTTCGATTTTGTATACTCCGTAAGATTTGAATAATCTCATCAGCAGTTAACTTCAAAGCGATCGATCGAACAACGATTTCGAGAATCGATCTCTCGCTGGGATGCCGCCAAGCAAGGTTTCGTGAATCGGTGCGCAACAGGATTCTGCGCACGTTCCGCGTGTTCAACCTAGAATTAGGCGAAGAGAAGGAAGAGAAAGAGTAGGGCAGCGGCGGACAGGGACTGCAGGAAAAGCAAGGAAAGGCGAAGCCAGACCAGACAAAGCGGAATCTGTATGGAACAGAGACGAAGACGGAAGTGTGTGTACCGACGGTGACCGATGGTGACTGACGCTGTCCGACGGTGTGCTCAGCATAACGAAGTTGTCGATTTGTCGGTACATTGAGAGCAAGAATCGATATCTGTTCGTGAAAGAAAAAAACATAATCAGGCATGGAAATTCTCGAGCACGTTCGAATATCGAACACGATACAAGTGTGAAAGAGAATAGGCTAAACGGCTACCGTCCCAGTCCCAGTCCCAGTCCCAGTCCCAGTTTGAGCCAGAAACACAGGACAGGAGAGGGAGACGCGGACGCGCTTTGCTTTTCATAGTGGTGACGGGGACGACAAAAGGTGGAAAGCAGGAGACGGAGGCGGAATTAACGGTAGTGGTGGTAGTGGTGGTAGTGGTGGTGGTGGTGGCGGCGGCGGTGGTGGTGGTAGTGGCGGTGGTGGTGGCGACGATAGTAGTAGTAGTAGTAGTAGTACGGGGGAAGCAGGAGGTAGAGAAGGCTCGAGGAAGGCTCTGCCAGCCGCCGGAAGAGCATCGACGGCGACGGGGGCGGGGAAGCTGTCCACCAAACGGAACGACCGCTCGGTGATACGGACGGCGAGTCGAACAGTTTCCCAAACGGATACGAATATACCAACTATCAACGATAGTCGCCGATTTTCTGTCAGGTATGTTTCTCTGAGCGATCGAGGAATCGATTTCTCCTTTGTAAAGTCGTTTTCAGATTTCCAAGCTTCTTAGGACGCGAACGAACATTGTAGCTGCTAATAATTGACAGGAATGACGTAGCTTAAGGGGTGTGTCGCCGATTAGGTGGTAATCTTGGAGAATTTTTTCGGTGTGCTTGATGGTTTTTGAATGGCGTTTCACCGTCGATTCTCGTCGATCTCGACTCTATCTCTATTCCCTTTAGATCCGAAAACATCTCTTTATCCGTAAAACTATTGTAACTGTAATTATCGAGATACTCTTACGCGTTGCGATAGTTACGCCATCGAAAACCATCGTTCTCTACCGCCTGTATCGCCATTTGCATTGTTAAATCATTGACCTTATTTTCTTCCTAATTCCCGTTGAGAAGATGAAACATCCATTGACGCATTGCAGTATACACGTAGTAGCAGGTTTCTAGAGGAAATTCAAGCGATTCTACCCTTTCTCGTTCTCATGGATTACAATAATTTTTCGTTGGATCGAGCTCGGAAGCGGTGGTGACTGGTGATACGAAACAAGACGAATTTTCACAATTTTATCGATTATTTTGTGATTCCGGTTCGACTAGTTTCTCCGTTACTCGAGAAAAATATATTCTATCGGAAGGTCAACGACTGTTGCAAGTAACAGATATCGAGGTTGCTTCGGGTGGATCATGACCGTTGATTTTTTCCTCCGCATACGCGATACGCGGTGCGCGTACAATCGATCCGTTAGGAACACTGGCTCTCGTGACAGTCATCGGCATAGGCCAATTGTTATGACATCTTGCAAACAATTTTTCACAATTGTCTTGAATTATTTGGCTGGATTCAATTCGAGCGATGCGCACGAGAAGAATAACATTCGAGGTACAGATGAAGCTTGTGCCAAGGCATTGGCAAAGCAAAAGTTTACGTTGTGACATAATCTGTAAATTCGGTAAATTCGTAGATTCGACTCCCGGTCATTTGGGCGTATTCGCACGAATAATCGTATACTGTGCTCGTCTCGACGTCCTCATGATCATCGTAATGTAGTAAATATTGATGTAACGTGGATGAAGCGAGATACGCTGGGGTGCGGTACAATTTGCGTGTCTGTATCTCTTCGATAAACGATAAATAGCAGCTAAGATTGGAAAAGTTTCATGTTACTTTGAATTTTTTAGCCAAACGATGAATGTGCCAGCCCTAAAAAGAAACAGTAGATGGTACAAAGTACATTTTCCAACACTCTGATCGCATGCCTAATGTATTTTTTGGTCAAACAAACTCGAGATCGTCCCCGCGCAATCTATCCGTTTATGCTTTGGAAATAAACTGTGCTACTTTCTCGGATTACAAAGGATACAAGGTATGCCTTTTTGTGCATCGATCGTCTTGATTGCATTTTCTATTGGATATTATGTTTTGATTTTGCTTCATGAAACTTTGATTCGATTCACTGATCCAATGTGATCAATCGTTTTTTGGGTAGCAGCATCTGATGATAATTTCACTAGATAAGACGCGTCGATTTTACTCCTAGTGTTTTGTTACACAAAAGTGACTACATTTCAGCAGAATCTTTGGAAACTTTGGTATGCGATGCTTTGCTCGATCCTCAAGATGGATACCTATAAAAATGGCACATGTGTCGTTTTGATGGATATATGCTATGTTACACACACGCACGCGCGCCCACACATATACACGCGCGCGCGTACACATATATTTGCGCGCGTAGGTACGTACGGCATGGCTGTGTTTGATCGGCCGAACTCGGTGTAGCATCCATTCAACGATAGTAGAATAAGCTTCGCGTTTTAAGTTATGACATCATCGTGCCGAGGAACAGCGGACGCGTCGCATTAAGTATCTCGCGCGCGATACGTGTCCTATTCGGCCCGGTCCATTATCAAGCTTTGCCGTTCCAACTCATTACAAATTTTACTTGGCGTTACTGATATTCGATTGATCCATAATTTACAATCGCTTCGAAGAACGCTCGAAACTCGCACTCTTTGTTGGACAGAAGGGCGTACGAACGATTATACGAGTACCGGTTATAAATAAAGAACGTTCAATTGGAGTTTGTCGTTAAATAACACTGATGAACATCAATTGATGGGCTTCGACTATTTAAGTTTTTAGTCACGGCTAATTGTACCTCCTAACCGTACGGTGAATGTACATAGATAACGAAAAATGTGTGAATGTACAAACATTTAATTAGTACGGTGTAGCGAATTCGTTTCGAGACCAGGGCTACAGCGACATGTTTAGAGTTGTATACTTACACGGTTACAAAATCGGAACGGTTATATTCGATCAGATAAAAATACTGGTACGGCACCTACTAGCACAGCGGGAACAAACTAATTCATTTCGGCGAATTAATGTATCGCATTCGGTTTTCACGAAAGAAACAACACGACAACGAAAAGATAGATTGCACGTGAGTCCACGGATGTGGTGGAGGCAAACTAAAGACGAGATGTGGCTGCGGTATAAATAAACGCGGTAAGAATTTCCGAAAAACGAAAACGAAAATGTAAAAAAAGGAAAAACAGGAAATACGGAGGTAGAGCGACGCGATTTCAGCCGTTCTAGGGATTCCTGTCGTCAGTCACCCCTACTGTCTACGCATTCAACGCGCGTTACACTTGACTGTTGGCTGCGAGTTTATTGATCGTTTGCTGACTTCTAGTACCGGTTTTCTGACGTTCTTCGCGTTCCACCGATCGGCGAGTCACAATGTGCCGTGTACAATTTTGAGTCTCTAAACCATGAACAGAATAACGGCCGATCTTTTCATTTATTTCTTTCCTTTCCTCGACTTTTCTCTTGTTTCACTTTTTCCAACGATTTTGTTCACCAATCGAATTTCGAATGTGTGCTGCAGGCATTTGTAAGTCGATCATGTTTGCATTATTCATTCGGATCATAATGTCGACGTAGACGTCGTGCATGGTTGATGAAACAGCATCCGTGACAGTAGTAACGTTACTTTAAGGAATCGAATCTGTTTTAGTCGGTATTCAGCAAAGGGGAAGGAAGAAGGAGACGGCGGCGGTGGCGGTGGTGGCTGCGGCGGCGGCGGCGGCGGCGGTGGTGGCGGTGGCGGTAGAAACAGCAGCGGTGGCAGCGGTATTGGTTGAGAAGGCGGAACTGGAGGAGCAACAAGAAAAAGAAGCAATTGGATAGAACGGCAACGAAAAATAATAGGAGTATAATATATATACATATACATATATAGCTTCGAGAAACAAAGGAGAGATTGAATTCGACGAGTAGAGATCTTTACTAGCCGATCGAAAATGGCAGACACGAGTGAGCAACAAACGCTGTCCGAGCCCCATACGAACGGAATAATGGATGGTTTGACAGAAGAAGAGAAAAGTAAAATGAGGCCTGCCGATATCGACGCGGTAATATACACTCGACATTATTTGTTCTAATTTGATTTTCTGAATGAGAATTATCTGTGCAAAAACTTGAATGTTTCGAATGTTTCTTGTGTAGGATATGAGAGAAATGGAAAGAAGGAAGAGAGTCGAGATGATGATGAACTCGAGACTTTTTCGGGAAGAACTGGAACGTATTATTGAGACGCAAATGAAAGACGGTGCCGGACCATCTGGCCTTTTACAGCAAATCTCGGACATGATGGGCGCGCAAGGTGCTCGATTTAACGGCAATGTATTTAAAAGTAGGTTATTTTGTTTGTCGATTGAGCAAACCCAATAAACCCCTATGAGTCACTGTTTATGTGAGCAGATTAGCCAGCCAAGATTCGTCTGTTTACAGATTCGAATTGCGTGTTACCCATCAACGATATACGCGGTGTTGAAAGTATGGGTTACGCGAAAGGAGAAAAATTGTTACGCTGCAAGTTGGCAGCAGTGTTCAGATTGCTCGACCTTTATAGCTGGACTCAGGGCGTAGGTGGACAAATCACGGCTCGTCTAAACCAAGATCAAGAACACTTTCTAGTTAATCCGTACGGATTACTGTACCATGAAATAACTGCCTCTAGTTTGGTTAAGGTTGATATGCAAGGGACGATCGTGGAACAGGGAACGACCAATTTTGGAGTCCACGTAACAGGATTTCAGTTGCACTCGACGATTCATGCTGCCAGGCCTGACATTAAGTGCATCGTTCACATCACTACTCCGTCCGTAACCGCTGTAAGCGAAGAATTTATCATTTACGCGAGGATCGTATTTTCTCGGACAATATACATGTATATTCTTCCTGCATGATAAACTCCGGTCATTTTTAAAATATTTTACAGATTTCATCTTTAAAGTGTGGTTTGTTACCAATCGGGCAAGAGAGTATAGTAATAGGGGAGGTGAGCACACATCAGTATATAGGCGGATCTTTCGAACCGGAGGAAAAAGAAAAGATCGCCAGAAATCTTGGTCCAGTGAACAAAGTGATGCTGTTGACAAATCGCGGCGCTCTTTGTTGCGGAGAAACTGTCGAGGAAGCTTTCTTTAACGTTTATAATACGGTATTAGCTTGCGAAACGCAACTGAAATTGATGCCTGCAGGGCTCGATAATCTAAATCTCATCTCCGAAGAATCGAAGAAAGCTATCTTTGAAGCCTCTAGGAAACCACCAACTCCTCAGCAAACAATCTCGATTCCCGAGGGTCCAGCTATAGCTGAGAAACTCGAGAAACGTTGGCGAATCGGTGGATCAGAATTCGAAGCGCTCATGAGGATGCTTGATAATGCTGTAAGCATCCTTGCAACAATTTTTCTCCTTTCTCCCCTCTTTCCTTCTCTCTTTTTCCCTTTTCCGCCTATCTTTTCTTCCTTTTTCTTTTTGCATCTCTTCTTCTCTTCTCCTCTCTTTCCCTCTTTTTTTCCAATTTTACTCGTACAACTTATTTATCGTATCTTATCTTAATTTTGATTTCTTCTAGGGATTTCGTACAGGATATATGTATAGAAACCCATTGGTGAAAGGAGAACCTCCTCGACGTCGGAACGACGTCGAAGTACCGCCGGCAGTATCATCCTTGGGATATTTGCTCGAAGAGGAAGAACTGTACAAACAAGGGTAAATATAAAAACAAGGCCTGTTCTCAAGAGATTGAACGTGCAATTAGGAGCCATTGAATACTCTATTCGATTACTGAATTGTTTATTTTTCATGTTTACAGGCTTTGGAAAGGTGGTCGGAAAGGCACTGACAGATCGCGTTGGTTGAATTCACCAAATGTGTATCAGAAGGTTGAAATACTGGAAACGGGAACTCCTGATCCGAAAAAGATCACAAAGGTAGAGGTTATCACTTTTGAAAATAAAACCGAATAGATGCAGAAACATGTTTGCGTACGGAAGAACATGTATAATAATATTAAGAAATGTCAGGTGTAATTCGGGAGAAATGTTACCGATAGGATTGAACGAAAAATCCAAATTATATTATGAAACAAAGAGTACATGCTATCGAAAAGCGTTAGTATCAACGTTCGTAAATATTTCCAATGCACGTGTTCTTATATTTGTAACTTTGTAGGAACTATCGCTCGCTATTCGTTTAAAAGAAAAGAAACCGTACGTGCAACCTTTTGTAACTCATTTCGTTAGTCGATAAGTAAAAGATGAAAGGTAAGAATGCTGTATACCATTCATTGATTTTCTTTTCATTTTTTTCCAGTAACATATACAGTTGCATTTTTGAACAGACGAACCAATACTTTAATATTATTTTTCTCTTTTCAAGAAAGTTATTTGAACATTACGAACGATTTAATCGCTTTTACTGTGTATAACAATAACTATATCATATTGTCGGTCTGATTATCGCAAGTGAGTCGTGCAATGAAAAATCTTTGTATTCTGTTACATGCATTCCATTTTATGCTAATTCAATAGAGAATACATTGCGGGCAAATAATATACAAACAGAAATAGGGCGTGCTTGAAATAAAGCAAGAAGAATATGAAAATGGAGAAAGAAAGCGAGAGAGAGAGAGAGAGAGAGAGAGCGAGACGGGGAGAATGAGCGAGCGTAGGGGAAGTAAGAGGAAGAACAACCAAAACATAATTTATGATATAAGAATCACCGATATGGTTTTGGATAAATTCCTTCTACCGAGCCGTAAATAGTTTGTCGTTTGGTCCGTATTAAAACGATTGTCACCGTTAATAAACTTTACTGGATTTCTCTATTGTAGCTTCTTGATATATTCAAATAAATATATGTCTACTGTTCATCGTGTATAGGTAATTTCTTAGAAAAAGAAAACGGACCTTATCGTGCCGCGTCAATGTAACAGCATGCTATCCATAAACTACACCAGAAAACTATTCAATGGAAAATAAAACATTGCGGTTGTTCGATCAGTCTTGACGGTTAGATTTCATGATCGACAAATTTGTAAGCATTATGGTTTGTCGATTTTGCGTGATTACAATGTTATTCGTAATCGTAGAACGTTGTTTCGCGTCGATTCGAGACTGTGTATGAATGTGTGCCTGTCAGTCGTGTCGTCGAAGCGATGAATGTTCGATTCTTCGCCCCACTGCATTTACAAAACCAGATCGATTGACCCTGTAAATAGAGAAAAAGGAAACTCGTATAGAAAAGTATATTCGCGATCGATTGACGCGGATGTGTTTACGCAACAGATCGAAGCTGTTGACGAGCCGAAGAACTCGAACTATCGAATTCGATGGGCGAACGATACTAAAGATTACAGCATCTCTTCTCATAACGTAATATAATATAATGTATTACATATACTGTGTAGTATACCGTACTGTACTGTACTATACTGTATTGTACTATACTATACTATATTATACTATGATATGCTATGATATGATATAATATTATGGTTTGCAATGATACACGGCGATCTCACCGATTCAACAGGCACACATACCGTACGCAAACAACGCGAGAGACACTTAACGATGCTGTATCGTATGTTAAATTATTGGCGGTGGTCGACTAACGTTCTGGTTTTGTGTGCAGTGGGTATCAGACGGCTCACCGACCCATAGCAGTACACCGGTCAAGATCGAGAATGCTCTTCAATTTGTACCGAAAAACACCAATCCAAAGGAGTTTAAGCAAATACAACAACAGGTAAGTGTTTCGATGCGTAAGTATTCGTTGTTAGTCTGACAATCGACGTATCGAATTTTTAAATAGTTAATACAACGTGCAGTAGTACTCTTAGAAGTGTTGTGTCGTTGTGTTCTGACAAAAGTTTTCCATTGCCTCTAGATTAAAGATTATCGGAGAGCGGACAAAATATCGGCTGGACCGCAGTCTCATATATTGGAAGGAGTTACATGGGAGGAAGCTAAGAAGATGCAGGTAATATTTTTTAGAGGTCGAAATCACATGATTATTTCAGTCAGAGTGAAATATTATCGGTAATAGTTCTGCTTCTCGTAAAGATAAACGATTGAGATAAACTTTTCGCTTTTTCTTTTTTTTTCCTTTTTTTTTCTTTTTCTTTTTGTTCGAAGGATGCCACGATTAGCGGAACAGGCGAACAAGTAGTTTTGGTAGGGGCAGCCAGTAAAGGTATTATTCAACGAGGCTTTCAGCACAACGCGATGGTCTACAAGACTCCGTATGCCAAAAATCCTTTCGATGCCGTTACGGACCAAGAACTGGATCAATATAAGAAAGAAGTCGAACGTAAACAGAAAGGAGATCCATGTGAGTGAGAACGTGCGATCGCACTTTCGAGTATCATTGAATTCGTTCGACGTAGGAGTACTACATAGTATATACCATGATGATCTTCTCGGTTCAGACGACGAGTCGCAATCGGAATCAGAGGCCTTGTCGTCGTTCAACGTCAGCCGCGCAACACACGAATCAAGCACTGCGAAAAGTCCGATCCAGTCGCCAGTTTCTGTAACTTCGGAAACTGAAGAGGAAAGTAGAGATGGTAAATAATATTGTAGAATATTTTGTAGAATATTTTTACACGTTTACTCGATTCAATTCTGCTCGTCGCGGTGTCAACCATTGATCGTCTACGCATAATTGTTTCACTTTGATTGGTAGAACCGCGAGTGCTCCGGATAGAAACGAAACAAGTGCCTGCACCGAGTCAGCCAGAAGTTGTCCTCAGCGACGGTAAGTCGATTAAGGCTTGTTACCATAGTCTACGTGTCGACGCGAAAGCGTTTTTCTCTTTTCAGATGGCATTCTCGCTCTCGCGTAGACACGTAACATTTTCGAGGGTTAGGTAAATCACGGGGGAAAAAACTGATAGTATGGAAAGCCTTGGTTCGCATTGCCTTTTTACTTTAATCCTCTTTTGTCTCTACTCCTGTCTCTTCTTATTTTTGTTCATTCGTTTCAATCGACCATCGTCAACAATTACTATTCGGTATACAGTGAACATTCTAACGCTGTTTGTATGAAATTTTTGGTAATCGAAGAACAAGGCTAAAATCCATGTGTCTACTTACATATTATTACAATACTTTTTATTTATGATCACTAACGCTTGCACCATGCATGACCATAAATTCGCATATCCGCATGTTTGCTATTGTCATTAACCGTTTTGTTTTTTTCTTTTTTTTTCAACTTCTGTTTTGTCTTCTACGCACACGGATAACGCCACGTATCGTATCGTATCGTATCGTATCGTATCGTATCGTATAGCATCCTATCGTATCACAATGTATCGTAATCACGCTTGTAATCGCCAATTACGAATCGTCGATCCTTAAAAGAAAAATCCCGACATATTATCAAGGCAAAAAAAGGTGAAAATTTAAAGAATACGGATTTCTGATAATTACAGTATCGCTGTGAAAGCGCTTATTACTGTATGTAATAATAGTTTATCGAAACGCGTTACTTTTTCTTTATATGTATATAGGTTCCCCGCGAATGCGTCGAGTTTCAGGTACACTGGTGTGAGCATCCGTGATCATAACACGTATCTTCTGTCTCCAAGAGAAAGAAGGTGATCAAAGAGGTTAAATATTTCCATACGAAAGTGGTGTTCTTGGACAATGTGGTTGCAGATCGTGATTCATGGAGCAGATATTGCAGCGAAAGTGAAAATGGCCAAGAGATCAAGAATGAAAATTGTGTCGACAAGAAAGAGTGCGTCAGCCAAGTTTGTAATCAACACGGTTACGGATGCGGACACGAACCTCGATTGGAAATAGCTAGAAGCGGGATTATCGCGAAACGACTGATCCCCACGATAATATCGTACTCTTCGAAAGCGGTATCTCAAAAAATTGACACCTTGATTGACTCGAGTTTTGAACCTTGTTTTTCGAAAATGAAGAAGAAGAAGAAGATAAAGAGGAGAAAGAAGAAGGGGGTGATGAAGAAGCAGGCGGGTGAAAGTCTGTGGAATGCTGGAAGAGGAAGTGTCGATCAAACGATATCGGGAATAATTGAAAAAAACAACGAGGACGTAGCAATGAATTACAAGTTGGTCGAAGTAAACGTTTCGAAAGGTGTCGCAGAAATTGTAAGCGATAGCGATACGGATGGGTGTTCAAAGGAAACTCGATCGAACGGTTTTTCGCGATCGGCTGTTCAAATTTCTACCAAATATAATTTGAACACCGCTGATATGACGTTACTATACAGTTTGACGCCGTCCATAGACTCCGAGTGTCCGGACAATGTGGACGTGGAAACAAACAATGATCATATACGTTATAATCATCGTGTTCGATTGAACCTGGAGAAACAGGAATTCCGTAACTTCGAGAACTGCCCTGATTTGATTTGGTCTGACGATTTTGCCGATGAGAACGGAAAATATCAACTTCTAGAAGATGCTCGTGCTTTTAAGTTTGCTGGAAGGAATAATAATTATTCGTTTAAGAGCGAACAGACCGAAGTTTATTCGCACGAAGAATCCGATATATCAAAATTTCCTGGTTCATCGGTTTTGGAATTACTCGAGACCAATGCTAACGATTTTCGAAATGACATTAGCATTAGCGCGAACGAAATCATCGCCGAGCTCGATGCAAACGATATTTATGCGAGTATCTCTTGTCTCGTCGCAGAAATATTCGAAACAGTTTGTACCGTTTGTGGTGAACGATCTATCGATCAGCGCGGTCTGTTAGATATACCCGCGTCCACGTTCGCATCTACCTCCGTTTGTACCTCTACCTCAACCCCTATCTCGACCTCTACCTCTACCCCTACCTCTGTTTCTGTATCTATTTCAACATTTTCGCCTTCATTTTCTAGACGTCTCTCGTCCTCGACCCTGTTATCCATTGTGGAAAACGAAATCTACCATCCCACGGAGAAGGATACCAGAATACGTCGGAAGAATTCGTGGATCGAGAATGACAATGAAAATAGACCGCTTTCCGTTGTGCGTGAAATCGTTCATCATATAATCGATACAAACGATCAAGTTGAACGAATATACGAGAATACTGCAACAATCGTTGAAACAACGGTACCCGATTGGTCTTATAAAAAGGCTAAAAACAATGTAAACGTGGGTCTTATCGAAACTGACAATACTAGAAATATTATCGGTAGTGTTCAAGGGCCGTTCACCGCTAATTTCGACACCTCGGTCGAAATGGACAAAGAAAACAACGAATCGATTGATTCGACCGATGTCGTTTTCGAATTCCATACCATAGCGAGGAGAAACTTGGCGAAGGACAACGAAAAACATATTGAATTGAATTTTCGAGTTGAGCCGAGTCACGATGGTCGGGGCACTGTTGACGGTTCGAAAGCGGTATGAATCTTGGACCGAAAAGACGAGACAAGATGCAGTATTTGTGTAAACGACAAAACGGAATCGATCGCGGGCCGGGGTGATCTGCCAGGTCAACTATGAGTTTCACTTACAATAACTTCGGTTGTACGCAACGAGAAACCAGTTTCAATAATTGTTTTAAAAGCGAGAGCGACTGCAATTAAATAGAGTTACTATTTACTGCGCCTAAAACATTGCTGCACATTCAGTCACGATCTCAGGTGTCTCCGTTACCATCTGTAAATAAAAAAAAAAGCGACAACAATTGTGCAAAGTCATGATACACGTTGGGGCGATCGCTGTTCAATGAACAAGACGGTTGATCGTTTGAAAATCGGAAAGAGCGATTCACCGATAACAATTGCATGCGTTGCAGGAGTAAGGAAGTTTAAATGAACCTTCTAGATCGGATGATCGGACGTGTACCACATTTCGAGCGTGACCGTTCATTCTCTCGAAGATGTCTCTTCGTATAGCGAAAAATGCTTTTCCAGTTTATTTTTTTTATTCATTTTCTTTGTTCACGTGCATTTTTAGTGTCGGAATTTATTGTAAAATCGCGTGTTGCGATTGTACGCTACCGGTAGTGTAGACTTTTCGATGGAAGCGTATATAACTTCTACGTTCTATGTATGTACACTACGCATTTACCTCTTGGCAGTTGTTAGGCCTACAGTATATTTCAAAGGATGTTGTTGATTTTCTGTTCTTTTTTTTCTCATTTAAGTTTCACATTTTTCGTTGGCTCTCGTGTTTTGTATTTTTGCTTCGTACATTGGACGTGTTTATTTTGAGTTCTCAATGAAATAAATTTCTTTCATAAAACCGAAGTTTTCGCGTTTCTGAAATCGACTATAAAATCATTTAGCAATTATTTGGGAATCACTTGTGAATCTGTTTGTTACTTCGTGCTTGTATCCATATACATTTGTATGAATCTCGATACACCGCGATACATGGTTCCTATATCCGAGGTAAGTATTTTGGTTTCGGCGGTTCGTTGCATTTACCATGCTTTGCTACCTTGATTAACACGCATTACACATTGTCAGATGAGAGAAACTAACAATTAGTATTAGCTTCGAATTTGCGGCAGACATTGCGTACGAACGCGTCGTTTCGACTTTGTGATACGTAACTTTATGCTTTATGTTACAGGAGAAAATACCGTAAACGGCGATCACTCGGATGCACATCACAGTACATTTTCGCAAAGTAGTAAAGAGGTTTGTTGCTCGTACTTTCGTAGATTTACACATTCTATGTTGTTCTCAAGCTTTCGTTTAAGCAACTTAACGCGGTATCGCGAAAGCAATGCGTCCTCGATGTCTCGTTACTATTCTGTTTATCGTGTAAAAATTACATTTACATATACATTACGTATCGAACATAGTCGTTTACTAATTTAGCGTCGTTTCGAAAGATTTGATTACACATGCTTTGAAAGTTCGAGAACATTTAAAATGTGTTCGAAGATAATATCGAAACACTATCGTTTCCACCACCAACACCACATACTATACATTTACATATTCTCGGAGAGTTTATTCATTGTAAAGTTTATCCACACATCGATGTTCTGCATTTCGTGGTTTTATCACTTCAGATTGAACAAGTATTTTCCAACTCATGCATAAATAGTGTTACAAACGGCTTTCGAACAAGCTAGTTTTGTCGAGATAATGTTCGCTTGCATGGAGTGGGCGGGCAAGGCTGGGGGGTTGGCGCGGCGGCGGCAGGTATTGTTTTTTCTTTTCTTTCTTTTTTCGAGTCATCGACAACGCGTAAAGTAAATGTTGTGGAACGATAAAGGCCGCAGATCGGGTTTACGTGGAAATACACTGGGTGGGGTGGAAAAGCATGTAGCCATGTGTTAGCAAAAATTGGCTGTTTGCATGTGCATGCAAAAAGGTTTATGGTTACGGTTGGGACCTTCCGTGTTAAGGGTTCCGTGTCGCAGGATGTGAGCGTTAGCGAGGAATCGCCAAAGAAGGAAAAGAAGAAGAAGAAAGGCCTCAGGACACCGTCATTCCTAAAGAAGAAGAAAGAAAAGAAGAAGCCGGTCGAGGCGTAGGTAGTCCTAATTTCGGTACGTATACGCATATCGTTGTGTCAAGAATAACTCTTGTTATATATTCACGAGTGATCGATCGGTCGATCCTTTATTTCGATCCTGCATCTTTACTTGTACTATATCGAGCAACCGAGGAGTCTCGTGAATCACATCGGAGATTTCTACAATGATTCCTCGATATAGAGATCTCAAGACGGCGGGACTGTCTACTTTTAACAGTTCCGAGTTAGTTGGATATTCGTTGACTCGCGGCCATTACCGTTCGTACCTATATTTTGGAATTACCGAGAAGGCGTGCGATGTAAGTCAAGGTAGGCAGGAGGTTTCCACACGTCTCTGCATACTTTTTATCTTAGCGTAGACGAGCTGGCGCTACTGTAATTCGCATAGATGCAGTAAAATTAGAACGCGTTTTTATATACTTAGACGCCAGTTAGAGATTGTCATGGTTGCTGCAACGGTATGAATCGTATTGTCACTCACGGCCGTTATACTTCTTAACCTTCTATCAAATTTGTCTCTTGTTTATCATCCATATATTCCAGTCGCGACGCATTCAAATATATCGAATCGCATACTGCGATCTCGTTTCCTTTCGTATCCACCTTCCCACCTTTATTATTAATCGTTTGATTTTCAATTTTTCTTTCTATTCGCAGACACTGCCACGAACAAAAGCTTATTACAAATAAATAAATAAATAAATAAATAAATAAATAAGTAAAGGAAGGAAGAAAGAATGAAACCATCAAACAAACACAAATGAATGGAATCGAATAACGATGACAACGCGAGACAGAAGAGTCGAAGAACGCAATGCGAAACAAGAGTACGGATCCAGAAGACGAATGAATATAGAAAATAGGAAATAGAAAATAGAAGATCGGAAGTAAAACTAATTGTGCAACAATCACAGCATCTTTCCAGGACTCAAGACTGCCATCGCATTACGTCTATGATAAGGAACTATATTGTACTGTTAATGTTTTTACGTTTTTAATTTGTTAAGGCGTCACGCTGATGTATTTAATCCGCTATTTAATTTCGCCTTCCCAGCCCCCGTTTGTGTAATGCAATAAAACAAAATTACATCTAAAATTCACAAAACAACCACAGAAATATAATTTTCGAGGATGTGGTGATACGTTTCTTGCGTAAATCTGACAACAAAATTGTTGAACGCTATGTCGATGTACATATGTACGCAACGTTACATGTGTGGCACATGGATTATGAATGCTTGAGTTTTTATCAATTAGAAAATGATTGGCGTGATTTCAAATTATACAGAATAGATTTACGCATTCTCAACCTTTTTGTATTGTTCTGTACCGTTCTCATTAATATTTCCTAATATTTGTAATTTATTTGTCTACAGCTTGAACAAAAAACTCTGGATTGCAACGAATGAAATAGAGGGGGAGAGAGAGAGAGAGAGAGAGAGAGAGAGAGAAAGAAAAAACGTGTGCGTGTCGCGCCCTGTATGTGTGTTGGACAATAGGAGAGAAAAAGAGACGAAGGTGCATCAATATTCGTCGTTCGGATCTGCTTCGACATCGATCGAATCTAGTCCAACTTCTTCGTAGTCTTTCTCGAGTGCTGCAAGATCTTCGCGAGCTTCAGAAAATTCGCCTTCTTCCATTCCCTCGCCAACGTACCAGTGAACGAAAGCTCTCTTGGCGTACATAAGATCGAACTTGTGATCCAATCGCGCCCAAGCTTCAGCGATAGCCGTAGTATTGGCCAGCATGCAGACTGCTCGTTGTACTTTGGCCAAATCACCGCCAGGGACAACCGTTGGTGGTTGATAATTGATTCCGACCTTGAAACCAGTTGGACACCAATCGACAAACTGTATCGTCCGTTTGGTCTTGATGGCAGCAATAGCTGCGTTCACGTCTTTCGGAACAACGTCTCCTCTGTAGAGCATACAACAAGCCATGTATTTACCGTGTCGAGGATCGCACTTGACCATTTGATTCGCAGGTTCGAAACAGGCATTGGTAATTTCTGCTACCGAAAGTTGCTCGTGATAAGCTTTCTCGGCTGATATTACGGGGGCATAGGTGACCAATGGGAAATGAATTCTTGGATAGGGAACCAAATTGGTTTGGAACTCTGTTAAATCGACGTTTAACGCGCCGTCGAATCGCAACGAAGCTGTTATAGAGGACACAATTTGCCCTATTAATCTGTTCAAGTTCGTATAAGTGGGCCTTTCGATGTCAAGATTGCGCCGACAAATATCGTATATAGCTTCGTTGTCTACCATGAAAGCGCAATCCGAATGCTCGAGGGTTGTATGAGTGGTGAGAATAGAATTGTAAGGTTCGACGACCGCTGTGGAAACCCGTGGTGCCGGATAAATCGCAAATTCCAATTTCGATTTCTTTCCGTACTCTACGGAAAGACGTTCCATCAGGAGAGAAGCAAAACCCGAGCCAGTACCGCCACCGAACGAATGAAAGATCAAAAATCCTTGCAATCCGGTACACTGATCCGCTAACTTGCGAACTCGATCGATCACCAAGTCGACGATTTCTTTGCCAATCGTGTAATGGCCGCGCGCATAATTGTTTGCTGCATCTTCCTTGCCAGTGATCAATTGCTCTGGATGAAATAGTTGTCGATACGCTCCCGTTCGTACTTCATCTGCAAACACAATCATCGTATTTCGTCGTTTCCATTGTTCGTTTCGTATCTATTTTTTTTCTTTTCTCCTTTTCTTTTTCTTTGTTTGCCCGTCATTCTTTCCCTAATTTTCTTTCGCGTTCTCCCTTACCGACCACCGTAGGCTCTAGGTCGACAAATACTGCCCGAGGCACGTGTTTTCCAGCACTAGTTTCGCTGAAGAAAGTGCTGAAACTGTCGTCTCCAAACATTTTATCCGTCGGCATTTGTCCATCCGGATGTATGCCGTGTTCCAAACAATAAAGTTCCCAACAAGCGTTTCCAATTTGCACACCAGCTTGGCCGACGTGAATGGATATGCACTCACGCTGGAACAAAAAAGCTTATTTTGTGTCGCGCGCTGACACTTTTTCCCTTTCCCTTTCACTTTCCCCCTTCTCTTTTACTTTCCCTACTTTTTTTCTACTCGTATCGTACTTCCCCGGTTGTCGATACCAACAGATACATTAGTGCACAGAAAAAGCAACTTTTACATGAAAAAACCAACGTACTGTCGACATTCGACAGTTTGCTCGAATTTGACTTTGACATTCACCGTATCATTGAATTATCCATCGATCGTCGCCATCGTCATTTCACGGATCTACACCGTTAACGCAACAGTTCCATCTTACCATTTCGAAAAGATAGTTCCCTGAATAGTTAACGAAAGGCACAATCCGTTAAGCACCAACTACGAACGCGTTTTTAGAAAAACGTGACGCCGTTTCTCTGAACGATAGAGACTGATGACGCGAGTACGGTCGACGGCCGCTTATATCCTCGCGTTCGCGTCGTCTCAAAATTATCTCGTAATCGTTGCAAGCAATCATCTTGTTAAGAATTGTGTGGTTTCCTCGGCGTGTTCATAGTCGGTCGATTATCGAATCGAACGTGTCTACCACACTGTACGCGTTTCGTTTTATCGTTAAATGATTCTAACATTCGCTTTGGAACGTTGGAATCGACTCCGAACGCTAGAACCATAACGACAAACTCTCCTTCGCGAACGGTTACGTCGCAGGTAATTTCAGATTCGCATTTAATAAACAGATATAAATAGCGTATTAGCCACTTCTTCGACCCGAACGTACTATATGTACACTGGCTGGCCAAGCTGTGCAAAACTGTTCCAACAAAACGTTCATGATGCAAATTCCTCTGTTCTATTTCTATTCGAGTGTACGTGTGTGTACGCCTCGAGATCTTTAAATCTCCACTCTCTCAACTATTCCGTGATCCGTGTACATATGTCCAATGTACATGCATACACGCGTATGTACGATCATACAGATTTATGCATACGACACGTTAGGAGAAGACATATACATATATGTAGTTTGCAATTTTTGTTATCCTTCGAAACTGATTTTCTTCGACTGTCTTGATTTTATTACGTTTAACTGTGTCCGTAGAAAATTGTCGACTAGAGTATAAATAAACATTTGAAACTATTCGATTGTCTCTAGGCACAGATTTAGGATCCGTATGCGTATCGTAAGCCCGTGGATGTGCGCTCTGTATAATCTGCCTCTTTGCTTTCATTTATCTCTGGTAAACAAGCTTTATGTACGTACTGTGATGGTACGCAGAGTTGCCGTTAACTACTGTTAGATGTCGCCATCATTGTCCGTTAGTACCATCGAGCACCGCCCGAATGACGTTACAATGTATGAAAAGCCCGTAAGATGCGATGCCTGTATGTACCGTATCGAATCCTCGGTCTGTGACTATGTATGTATACTGAACTGTGTGTTGAACTCAGCTGAACGGTGCGTACACAATATCGGCATTTTAAAGATGTATTGTCCTTTTGTAAAATGTACAATCTGAATCCCGTTGGGCGTTACGTGTCCACGAATGTCCGTTAAAGTAAAGATAACTCGTATGGAAAACGTCGATTACACTAATTTCACAAGTCTGATGAGGTATGGCGTCCACAAAACATAAACATAACCTGTCTTGTAAAACATGTCTATGTATTTTCTCTCTATTTTTCATGTCTATATATGTATTTTCAGTCGTGGTGTTTGGAGATACGATTCAATTCACGATCAGATATATTGGAGGAATACAGCGAAACTTACGTCGTGGAAACGGCCTTTTAGTTTAACCTAGAGTTTCGTAAAATGGGACGTAGTCGTACACCTTCCCCGTCAAGAAGAAGAGATCGATCACGAGATCGAGATCGTGAAAGAGAACGCGATAGAGATCGAAGAAGAAGACGTTCCCGCGAAAGGAGAAGAAGGTAATTGTTTCTACTTGTATTCGATAAGCGTCCACATCGTTGAAAAAGCTTTGACGCGAACTGAAAATCATTCTAGATCCGTAGAACGAGATAGGGTGAAATCGAGGGACAGAGAAAGAGATCGTGATCGTGATCGGGAAAGGCATAGGCGTTCATACAGTAGATCCAGATCTAGAGAAAGAGATAGACCGAAACCTAAACAAAAAGTCAACACGGCGGAACGACCCGTCATCACAGGTATAGTTGTTGCAAGTTAAAAATAATTAATGCTACGATTCATTGTAGTCCGAATGATTTTGTTAACAATGGCTAATTAATGTTCCACAGAGGCTGATCTTCAAGGGAAAACGCCTGAAGAACAGGAAATGATGAGAATAATGGGTTTTTGTGGTTTCGATACTACAAAGGGTAAGAAGGTTGAAGGCAACGACATGGGCGCCGTGCATGTTATTTTAAAAAGAAAATACAGACAATACATGAACAGGAAAGGAGGATTCAATAGACCGTTGGATTTTGTTGCATAGAGGACCTAACCGCGTGTATACAAGTTCACCGCAGAAGTAGCAGAAATGGCAGAAATAAACAGATTACCTTCGCAAAGAGTTTATCTTGAAAAAGTACAAATCTTGGAAAATAGATATTAAAGGTAACTTATGAAGAAGAATAGGCTTCAATCTCTTCGCTTCTTGAACGTTTATTCGAAGGCGTCGCGTTGTCGGCAGTGCTGGCCGACATTTCGTCCATATTGGAATTGCAGTTTTGGCTTTCCGTATCTTCCGAATTTGACATTGAAAGCTATCGAAGACAGGAAAAATTATACTAATTTACTATTAGAAGAACCCTTCGCTAACGTGATTCTATATTATGCACAAAAATGATAATGTAGACGGGAAATGTCTATATAATATTTGTATATTTAGTTTTTCAATCAAGATTATTACCAAGCTCGTATCCATTTTTTCAAGGCCTTCTACCAGTTGCGGGTTTTTAATTCTGAAGTCTCGTGTTATGCTGTGTTTCATATGATTCTCCAAAGGTATCTGTCATAAAAGTATGCAAGAAAGCAATACAAATTTTGTATGAAGTATCAGCAAAATGATGAGCGTTTTATATCGCTAGATCAGTGTATCTGTAATAGTACTCACGCCTGTTCTTTTGCCAAGTAACAATACTTCTTTGTTGAATTGCTCAATCTCGTAAACGACGCGTGGTATTACTTTCGTTTCGCGTAATATTTTGTTCCTTCGTGCTTGAGAGTCAACCTTCGCATTTACTTTGTTTTGATTTTCCTGTGATAAAAGGTTGCAAATGAGAAGCATCACTCAAGTTATCGATTAAAAGAAAAACGTAGATAACGCTGAGAACAAATTTGATTACCTCGAGGTATGTCACCAGATTGTAAAAGGCAGATTTTAATGGCTTTCCGGCTAACTGTATTACCTGAATGAACCTGTAATATATATCGAATGCTATAAGAATTACGATAATAAATCGCTGATTTCATATCATCGAAACAATACTAATATAATACAAATACACGTGGTTCGTTACCTACTTGACCGTTTGGAATGCTGCGTTCTGTCCATTTGATTTGGTATAAAAATATTTCGTAAGGTTCCCCAGCAAGTGATACAAACATTGTAAATTTTTGAACGTGATATCGGTACATGGGCCTGGTTCTATCGATGTGTTTACCAATGTGTAAAGTATTTGCGTTACATAGGACAACTGTTTACACAAACTTCGCTCCTTTTCTCTTAAATTGTTATTAGCTGTTTCGTTATCATCGTTGATATTTTTTATTAAATACAAGTTCCAGATTATTATTATTATTATTATTATCGAATTGAATTTATCAAATTGAAATCATTACATACAGATTTCGTCGATTGTTCCAGATGCTCGAACTATGGCATCTTCTGCTTTCAAGCGCGACAGCAGCCAAGAAGCGTTACTCAATTTCTCTTTTATGCAATCGTTCAACGTGGTATAAATCGGTTCGAATGTTTCTTCACGAAAAATCGCGTATTCTTTGTCCGATGTTAGTTGATTCTGCGTTCGTGAAAACAAACGTAAGCGTTAACAGCCCCGAGAAAGAAAACATCGAGTCGCAAACCGCTGTAAAAAAAATATTAAAAAGTACTGATAGATACTCGTGTGATAGCTTACACCATCGATTGTGCCAACTTTTTCACATAGTTTTAAGCAGATTTCATTCAATGTCTCTCCGTACTCTTGCGTATATTCTTCTAAACGTAAGAGAATCTGAACAATAGTAGCAACGATAGTGTCTTCGAGCTCGTTCGTTTGCACCAATTTCTTAATGCATTTGAATACCTTTTGCAAAACGTTAAAAAACAATAAATATTACTTAATACAGAAAAGGAACTAGACTGTGTTCTCGGTATTGGATTACCGCGCAATCGATCGATCTACCAACCTTTTCACCATTGCATTCAGCAAAATTAATTTTGTATGCTAACCGTTCCATAATTTGCAACAACAAACTGGGTACTTTCTTTTTTACGTTACTATCTGTCCCCTGACTAAACGATTCTACGAAATGATCGTTTAATGAGAAAATCACTTCCTGCAGTTGCAAATTAATATCCATCGAAGCGGAATTATGCTTCGATCGTACTTTAGCGAGAAACAAACGTACATTTATTAATTAACACGACATTGGAATTATTGCGGACTAGCTTTAATGCGAGATTACTTACGTATTCTGTTGAGAAATCGTGGCAATTCCGATGAGAATGTTGTACACATAGAACGACAAATTTCGTTGAAACATTGCAAGGCTAATATTATTATCTGTTCATCGTATTGAGTTACATTAACCAAATTAATGAAAAAGTGTTCATATAGTATCCTGAATATGAAATGTAGAACATGATGTTCGTGAAATATTTTTTTTGGTGAATATCGAAATATCGAGACACAAGCACTTTTTACATATCCCTTTACTTACCCTCCGATGTCAATGTAAACGTCTATGTACAAGTTCGATTGCTGTTGGCACGTATCGGTGAACAGTGAGTTTGATCTTTGTAAAAGTTGCTCGCATGTTTGGAGTATGTAACAACAAAAGTTACGATTTTCACAAAGTTTAACAATTTGGCATTGAGTCGAAGAAGATCGTCTGTTCCTACGGAAATAATATGTACGTGCAAGTATGACATCTAATCAAAAATATTTTGTTAAAACAGGAGTACACTTACGAGTATAACAAAGATAAACATTGATGTATCGCGTCCAGATCCATAATAGTCGTTGGTATTTTAACATGAAGAGACTTGACGGATTTTCTTGTCGTGTGACTCGTATTTTTATTCTTCTTAGCTTTACCACCATCTGCTTTCTTCGTTTTTATGGATTGCTGCTGTTAATAACACCACAACGAGTACATAGATTAGCTTGAAGACTAATGGAACGGAAAAAACAAGAAAGAATAATCTTGTATAATATGTAAAATTGCGTATTACCATTTTAATCAAATCTATCGACCGCGTATATCCCTCGAATAAATTCTCGATACTGTCACAAATCGCTGAACTCTCTTTCGAAAACCATTGCCCTATTCGAAATGCAATTAAAGCTTCGTAAATCGTAATTGCCATATTGAGGTTGCTCAATTTGATTTTGAATTTTACAGAGTCCTCGGAGAAATCTATCTCCCGCTCCTAAACCAATTGTAGATAAACAAACATAAACGTCTCTGTGCACAACAAAGTTGAACAACAAGAATTTATTACCAGGTTTAAATGTTCCAAGTTAGTGGCGGCCATACGTGTACACAACAACTCGAGAATATCATGCCATTCATCGGATATATTCGATGTCCGTGAAAACATTCGATGATATATTTTTTGTATCACAAATATTAGTTCCGCTATAGGTTCTTTCAAAACTACTTCTGTTTCCTGGACGTCGATGCACAATTCAAATTTGACAGGTGGTAAGATGTCGTCTTTTTCGAGGTAAAGATTTAAATGTGAAACTAGCATATTCAGTACAACTTCTGTTATTTCGGGATTTCTTGCGACAGTACCGTAAAAACCTGAAAATGTATTGTTCATAGATACGTATGTATGTGAAATATCGTTCGAACGTTTCGTGTACGTAGAATGTAGGAAATGTCCCGGAAATCTGTCTTACGAACCTTTGTATAAGTGCAGTCTAACTTCGAACTCATAAGTAAAGCTCTTTTTTAATATGTCCAGTATTTCGTAACACAAAGTTTTGTCAGCTTCGATGGATGACTTCTCCCGTTGTGTATAATGTTCTACAACTACCTATTAGAAAAATAATACGAACAATATTATCGCGACATTAGCGGTGTTCAAGTTTGTTATATTTCGTTGGAAAATGAATATACTTGAGTCAATGTCGATGTAGAACTTGAGCTAACAGTATGCACGGAAGAGTTGCAGCGTTGGCTGAGTCTAAAGTTGCTCAAAGAATGCATTTTCGAATATTTCAACATTTCAAGAAATCCAGTAACTGCCATTTGACGTTTTGCTATACCCTTTCTATAAAGACCTTTTCGTAAAGTCAGAAGAAGATTTTCCCGTATGTTTGGCGATACATTCATCAACGGGAGAATTGCAAACAAAACTTGATCAGCTACAACAATCGGTAAGAACAACAGCCGTTCTAGAAGAGTCATAATCCAAATTTGATGGTCCAGGACTATCACCGATAATTCGCGGCATACGTACTTTAAGCAATCTAAAATGTGTACAGCGTTTGATTGAACTTTTTCTAGAATATTATATTTATCGATTCTCAATTTGTGTCCGATATAAATGCTTTGTTACCTGTATAGTGTATCATCGGTGTTCCACCCACGACTATTTTATCAATCAATTCCTGCAGAACGGTAGCTACTGTTTCGTGTCGCTTTTTAATTATTTCTTGAATAATCTCGGCTCCTGTGTTCCACAAGACCGACGTATTATGTTTAAGCTTTTGGCTCGTACTCATTAAAACGAATGCTAATTCCATGAGACCTTTTAATACCATATGGCGATCCTTGTTACTGTAAACACAAGGCAATACATAAAAGAATGTCGTACATAGAAGAAATTGTAATACCTTACCTGGTGTCTATGATTCGTCGAACAATACCGATTAGATTTAATTCAGAGGGCAAAAGTTGTCTCAGCCAAGCACTAGTTTGTCTTTTTTCTTTCTCCAAACTATCATTGACTATAGTCAATTTCAGTATTTCAAAAATCTGTCGAATACATCTTTTGTTGGTAAAATAGTACAGACCTTGCTAGTTCTTAAATGAAATGGAATAAGCATTTATTCAAAAGAAACATTAATACCTGATCCGTGTATATACCAGACACAGACATTAATACAGCAAGCATAAACGGTTGTAAGATATATTCCGACACTTGGCACGTGGATTTAAGATAGCGAATAAAGTCTTTCAGACTTTCATGGTTTAATTGTACAGCTTGGTAGACATAGTACAGTACCGTGCTTTCTATATCTACAAGCTCTTTCAAACCAACGATGCCTGTACAAAATAATTGGATCAACATATATAGAATAAGTTAAGACATGTTGCACATATATGTGCATTATAATGTTGTAAAATTGCGAAATTACAAACCGATGCTTTCCATACTATCCTTATCGTCCATGGAGATTGCTTTTGCATAAGAAGACTCAAAATATTTACATAGCGTGTCAAAGAAGTAATGATTATCGCGATCTTTACACAATTTTAAAGCTTGATAAACAAAGGGTGGCACTTGATTCGGCGATAAATCAGGCAGAGCACGACACAGTGCCCCGATAACTATTCGACGATCTTGTTTATCCAATCCCATGTCCCTTTGGAAAAATATTCTCTGGTATAATAATATAGTACGATAAAGTTTGAAACTTACAAATACGTTTGGATAAAAAATCATTTACCCAAACATTTTAGCTAATAAAGGTAGGTGGTTGATATTCCATCGGTAATTACATATTGCTTTAACGATCAATGATTTGTACTCGTTCCCGGTGACTTCTGTATCCATGTGAACGACACGTTTCTCATTTTCCAATGCTTCGAGCAACGCGGGTAACAAGTCCTTCCAGCTGGTAGAAAAATATGGTAAAGCATGATATTTTTAAGCATGTAAAAATAATAAAGAAACGATAGTAATTCTCATTTATACTATTACCATAGCAGCTCATTGTGTTTATTATCGTGGTCGCGAATATCGACCGCACAAGCATCAACAAGTTTAACGATATTGTGCTTCGAATGCTTTGGAAGATCGAAAATTATTCGATTAATGATCGCATCCGCGAGCACAGTGGGTATTTTTGTTTTTCCTAAAATATGTAACGTGGATTCGATCAATTTACGTCGCTTCGATTGATAAACTTCTGAGTCAGGGAATGCTTGTAATATATCGTCGAATATTTTTGGTGCATCTGTTTTACAAACGCTGGTGTGTAATATTTTGACGAGCTATTTGAACAATAATTTCAGTGAAAATGAAGGTCATCGACGAATTAACAGCAAATTATTATATATAATACTATTACCTCTTCTTCAGTCAAACCTTGAATAAATACGCGCAATTCCATTTGCTTCTCAGGATCTCGTAAATTTTGAAATTGTTCGTACATATTTCTCCAGTTTATCGGTATGTATTATTCCAGAAGAAATAACAATTTTAAATTTCAGCTCCTCGTTCACGAGTTACAATTTAATTTCTCAAAGATACCCTCTCACGGGCATCGGAACGATATCATCGCATGCATACATATGATTGTATGCGGTAAAAATCTCTCCTATGTCCTACGCTATGTCCTACGTGGTCCTTGATCCTACATGACAATGATGCGCGATACAGGGCGATGCCGGCGGAACAGAAAGGAATGCAAGGTCGCTGAAAAATAACACATATTTATTACATTAGGTCACCCTGCGTTGCGTACTTACAATTGTGTGTGTGGGGGGAGTATGGCGCCTCTTTTGAAGAAAAACTGAAGCTCCGTTCGATGTCCGTACAGCGCCAATTAGTCAATCAATCAACTGTCGGTAATATTGGCTAACAGATTGAGCGTTTTGCCACCGGACTAATTGACGCTGTACGGACATCGAACGGAGCTTCGTTTATTCTCCGTAAGAAGCACCGCAGTCGCTTGCATATGTACAATACAGGGTCGCCTAAAAACATTAATTATGGCAAAACGAGGGCGTAACAAAATAAATCAAAGGCACAGAACTATTTAGGAGAATCTGCTGCACCGATATCGTGTAAGAAAACCAAGAAACAGCAACGCAAAATAGAATTAGTTAACATAATAGTTGATCAAACTCCGAAGAGCGTTGTGCCGCTATTTTAACTATTTTTAATGTTCGAGAGCAGTCGATTCGTGCCGGTTTCTACATTACGCCTTATGGCGAAAACAGCCAGAATCATCCGTTGTCTCTCTATTGTTAAGAATAAGTAAACTGTTTGTGCATGGTATAGATGCAGCAGAGTACCCTGAATATTTGTATACCTTCAGAATATTTGTCTAACCCTTGAAACGTTCGGTTTCAGGCTGTTCGTCGAAGAGATCATATTCTCCATGCAATCGATACGATGCATAAAATTAGTAGTATATCTTTAACACTTAGCCAACCGAATGGGGAGATCTCCCCGTTTTAAATTCAGTCGATTGATGACCGAATGGATGATTACTGAAAAATGAAAAATGATCGCTTAATTTTATTAAGATTTGCAAAAGTTACGAATGCTGATGAAGTAATTGACGCCATATAAGTTTGTTTCGTAACTTTCGTTCAATTGAATGAAATATTTTAATTTTATGAAAATTTTTGAGGTTTCTAGCGCGGTCGTGGAAGTGTTCAAATATTCTTCGAGTCTGCGAATTATTATACATGAACATTTTCGTCGAAGCGATAGGAGCATGCCGGATAATTGAAATTCTATCGTATTTATTATATAATACGTATCTGTCGCTGTTCGCGGAATCGCGTATCGCGATAAAACAGTAAAAAATGTATATTTACAAGTAGTATACCGGTATATGAAACGACGAACAAATGGTAAAGATCGACGCGTAATGTAACGTACAATGTACACAGCATAATGTACAAGATAGATACAGAGATAGAAGATACGTTTTATGTATTAATTGAAATATATACATGTAGAAAGGATCGTATTGAAATTGAAAAACAGAATTACGTAGGTCCGCAACTTGGATTTGCGCTCGTATTTCCGAATGCTGTATATCCTGCAGACGCATATACGGCGACACGTCCGTGGGAACGATTTTATATATAATATTTATTATATTATATTATATTATATTATATTATATNACCCTGAATATTTGTATACCTTCAGAATATTTGTCTAACCCTTGAAACGTTCGGTTTCAGGCTGTTCGTCGAAGAGATCATATTCTCCATGCAATCGATACGATGCATAAAATTAGTAGTATATCTTTAACACTTAGCCAACCGAATGGGGAGATCTCCCCGTTTTAAATTCAGTCGATTGATGACCGAATGGATGATTACTGAAAAATGAAAAATGATCGCTTAATTTTATTAAGATTTGCAAAAGTTACGAATGCTGATGAAGTAATTGACGCCATATAAGTTTGTTTCGTAACTTTCGTTCAATTGAATGAAATATTTTAATTTTATGAAAATTTTTGAGGTTTCTAGCGCGGTCGTGGAAGTGTTCAAATATTCTTCGAGTCTGCGAATTATTATACATGAACATTTTCGTCGAAGCGATAGGAGCATGCCGGATAATTGAAATTCTATCGTATTTATTATATAATACGTATCTGTCGCTGTTCGCGGAATCGCGTATCGCGATAAAACAGTAAAAAATGTATATTTACAAGTAGTATACCGGTATATGAAACGACGAACAAATGGTAAAGATCGACGCGTAATGTAACGTACAATGTACACAGCATAATGTACAAGATAGATACAGAGATAGAAGATACGTTTTATGTATTAATTGAAATATATACATGTAGAAAGGATCGTATTGAAATTGAAAAACAGAATTACGTAGGTCCGCAACTTGGATTTGCGCTCGTATTTCCGAATGCTGTATATCCTGCAGACGCATATACGGCGACACGTCCGTGGGAACGATTTTATATATAATATTTATTATATTATATTATATTATATTATAATATTTATTATATTATATTATAATATTTATTATATTTATTATATCATATTTTATATATATTGAAAATAGAAACATATCGAGGATCGAACGGTGGGCGTGTGTATTGCCGTTCGTATCGCCCTTCGTATCGGCGTTCCGATGGAAAATTTGGCGAGAGGGTGAAAGGACAATGTAAATGGATCACGGTCATTTTTTGCCACGGTACAAGGTGGAACCAGTGGAACCAGACGGATTTGACTTTCTGGTCCAAGGTCGCCGAGGGAATAACTCGAGGATTTTGTCGAAGGAAAGAAAAGAAGAAGGAAGGAGAATCGGGCGTGGTAGAGAACGATTTACACACTCTAAAATTACGCGTATTCTTACGGCGAAAGTTTCTCGTCACCGGTACGAAACACGCCCTTGTACCCCACTTAATTCCAGCCGGATCGTTTGCACTATATAAGATTTTGGCTGCGGAACGATCGGCACGCATTCGGTTTCGAGTACCATCGAAGAAGAATCCTGACCAGTTTTTCCGACCAGCTTCTAACAGCGGACTCTCGCAATGTTTACCAAGGTTGGTATCGCGCATACGTATATATATGTACTTGGTAATTGGTTGAAGGTGTCGAAAGGTTCGAGAGAACCGAATCGAAAAAATCATCGACGAATCGAGAAGACAAGATTTTCGCTCTATGGATAGAGAAGTGAAATTTGAGAACGATCTTCGATATGTTCACAGATCGTGATACTCGCCTGTGCTCTGGCGATGAGCGAGGCCGGATATTTGGGAACGGCCGCCGCGGACCAATACACTCTGACTACCGCAGCTCTGACATCGACGTCGGACAACATCCTCCGCAGCACAGGAAATTTGGCGCAGATCGCGACGCAATCGAAGACGATCGCAACCCCGTACTCGAGCAGCAGCAGATCCGACATTCGCGTGACGAATCCGACCATCTACGCGCACGCTGCTCCATTAGCGTACGCTGCAGCCCAAGCAGCACCGCTGGCCGCACCTTTGGCTGCTCACCCGAGTCCGCTGCTCGGTGTCGCTTACTCCCCAGCGGTCGCCGTTTCGCACATGGCTTACAGCAGCCCCATCGGTGTCTCTTATTCCTGGTAATCGATTTCTGCTTCTGGTCGTTGATTCCCAGATTCGACGCTGCATTCTCCAATGATTCTGTACGCGTATTTCGACCGATCGCTGTTTTTATTTATTAAATACAGTATACGTGAAATGTGTATGCGGCCAATTTTATTCTTACAACCGATCAACTTATTAGGGTGTCCCATAAGTTCTTTCCTTTTTTCTGATGCGAAGTGATTACACGATATTTGTTGTTTAAGGTTGATTTATCGAGTTACATATGAACCGTTCTGCTCTATTACCTTCTTCCATCTTTCAGGAAGACTCGTTACGCCGTCTTTCCAAGATTGTTGAGGCTTATTTGCAAAATATTGTACAAGAAGCGTTTTTATTTCGCTTACGAATTTAAACCGTTTTTCACGGAGGGTATTTTTTAACGAGAAGAACAAGGGACGGAACAATGTCTGGGGAGTACGGAGGATGAGGTAGAACGTTCCAATCGAACTGCAATAATTTTTGTCTTACGACCGACGCAACACGCGGTTTTGCGTTGTCGCTATGAAAATACGAGGCCGCGTCGGTTCACCAATTCTGGCCGTTTTTCTGCTATGGCGGCTTTCAATTCATCGAATTGATTACAATATTTAGCCGAATCGATCGTTTCACCTTGAGGAAGGAGCTCGTAGTAGACTACATCTTTCCAGTCCCACCAAA